AGACCGAGTCGAGACCGAGGCCGAGATCGAGTCGAGACCGAGATCGAGTCGAGACCGAGGCCGAGATCGAGGCCAGACCGAGTCGAGGCCGAGACCGAGGCCAAGACCGAGTCGAGACTGAAGCCAAGATCGAGTCGAGATCGAGGCCAGACCGAGTCGAGACCAAGGCCGAGATCAAGGCCAGACCGAGCCGAGACGAGTCGAGACCGAGGTCGAGGCCGGATCGAGATCGAGGCCGAGGCGAGGTCGAGGCCGGATCGAGATCGAGGCCGAGGCGAGGTCGAGGCCGGATCGAGATCGAGGCCGAGGCGAGGTCGAGGCGGATCGAGATCGAGGCCGAGGCGAGGTCGAGGCCGGATCGAGATCGAGGCCGAGGCGAGGTCGAGGCCGGATCGAGATCGAGGCCGAGTCGAGATCGAGGCCGGATCGAGGCCGAGTCGAGATCGAGGCCGGGTCGAGATCGAGGCCGGGTCGAGATCGAGGCCGGGTCGAGATCGAGGCGGGTCGAGATCGAGGCCGGGTCGAGGTCGAGGCCGGGTAGAGATCAGGCGGGGTCGAGATCGAGGCCGAGGCTGGGTCGAGATCGAGGCCGGGTCGAGAACGGGGCCGAGGCCGGGTCGAGATCGAGGCCGAGGCCGGGTAGAGATCGAGGCCGGGTCGAGATCGAGGGCGGGTCCGAGGCCGGGTGTGCTATCAACATGCATAATGGCTTTTCAGCATGTTTATGAACGCCGTTGACTTATCGTTACATTACTGTATATAAATTTATGACCTACCCCAACCCCGTCCCTAAACCTACCAGTCATTGGGTTTAATAGCATTTATGAGTCTTCCCCTACCATCCTAGGACAAAAATATCAGTACCCATATGTAGATCTGCATTTTGCTTTGTTTCGCTCAGACATTTAACGGCGTGTACATACACGCGGAATCACTCAGACATTTAACGGCGTAGACATACACGCGGATGGCTCAAAATGCGTATAGATAACATGCCATTTCACTTGAAAGTGCCGTGTATGTTTACGCTAAAGTCATGATGTCATGTTTGGACACTGCTAGGCCTGGCTTGTAGCATACAATTGGTAGAGCTTCCAAAATATTTGCAATGACATTGGAAAACAATCATGAACGGTTCTGGTAACATTGGATAAAGCGATTAATTTTCCTCAAAGGGAATTATTAATTTATAGGGAATCTTGAAAAAATCACTCATACCGCTGAGCAAACGGCTGCTGCACATATGGATCTGACACTCGTCCCATTTTCTCAAAACTCTTTACGTTCATTCAAGACATTTTTAACTCATTTAAGACTGCTCTTATGTTATGAGGATATTCAACAAAACTGAAATTTTGGCATAATGTGTGTGTTATGGGTCGTTTAAGCCTGAAAGAGAACATTCTCTTGTCTCGTCGTGTTTTAATGATTTAAAAGCATTTGCATTAATGAGAGCATGATCATACAGCGCTAGTCAACGAATGACAGAAAAAACGGATACTGTGCTAAATATTTGTAACGCTTTAAACTGAAACAAATTGCCACGGTGGGCGAGTGATGAGACTGGTGTTGTGACTCAACCCCCCTAGTGTGTCGGGCCACGGGTCTATATACTCAAGCAAGGAGTCTAATATATCCTTACTGATATTAGACATTATATTAAGTACAATAACCTCAAAGTCCAGACCTCTGGTTAACAACATTATTGCAGAAACGCCTATATCAGTTGTCTCTTGAATGTCACCAGGAGGCCAGAAAATACATTTAAATTTTGCTTTTTTGTTGGTCAATTTATTCGTTTGTTTTCATTTTAATTTAACTGGGTAATTGGTACAGTCATTAACCTCATATTTTATTTCCAAATTGATGTATTTAGTAAAACCCATCCTCGTGGAAACGTAGTTTAACATATTTTCTTTCTTTACAGGATTATTCTTTGGAAAGAAGGAGAGAGGCGGTTATCCGTTCCGTAATGGTGCATCTCAGAGACAAGGAAGATGATCTCTTTAAAGAGCGCTTGGTAAGATACTGTACTTTGTGTCAATCTGATTTTTAAGTATGTTAACTTAAAACACTGACATTGATTCTGAACTATTTAGGATAATGGGGATAATACCAATGAACGGATGAAGATTATTATAACCAGAGGAGCCACGACGTCTGACCCAACCGCCGCAAGGATAGTGATCGAGGGAACTGAGCTCCAGGAAGACCTGGACGTCCCCCGGGCCTGTGCTCTGCTGATGGGGCTGATATACGCACTCAACCTCAGCTACCCAAAAGAACTGAAAAACACTTTTGAGGCATTTCAGAAGATTTTCCTTGAGCTGGACGACCTGAAGCCTAGCCTTAAGGTGATGTCTCTGAAAAACAAACTGCTGTACTAAAACACTGCCGTCATCAGATTCAAATGTTGGATTGTGCTGCAAATGTAAAAGTTTCTTGTCCATAAAATTACAAATTGACATTAATAAAATAAATGCAGTTTAAACAAAAGCCTAAACAAAACTGTTTAAAAAAAACTACTTTAGTTTTAGTAAGGTGGACTCAAAAAAATGTCATTTGAGTGTTTATTGTGCAAGTCCAATTCTGTTTTCGTTCTCTTTTTTTCCTTTTTTTGGAAATAAAACTACATATCTACTTACAAAGCAGCTTGGAAACCATTCTTCTTTTCTTTTATCTTTTTTAGTCTATTTTCTATTCAGTACATTTCTCCTTTTAACGTGCGGTTTCATTTTGTTTAAGGAAAAATCCCTGGTAAAAGCTTGCAAATTTTATTGTGCGCTAAGGCTATGTTCACATTGTTAGTCCAAATCCTGTCCAGTCCAAATGTTTCGTTTCCGGAATATCTACATTGACTTCTGGGAATGACGTTGCGTTGATAGGCGTACACCCAAAAACATCATCAGCAACCGCAACATTGGAGGGGTTTGCAATTCAGATGTTGTCTTATTTATAACATGATAGCCTCTGTGCCGGAGTACTGCATCTATGAGGCAGCGGCAGAACCGCAAGAGGTCCCGGTATACGGCTCGGGTCATGTTGTGGTCGTGTCTAGACGTAGGTCCACCATCTGTTCTGCAAAAGGCCCGGATCCAGATGACTACATCATGCGTTGTGGTAGTGTCCAGCCGCAGGTCCTTCATCTGATCTGGATACATCCCGGTCCTTCATGTGATCTGGAAAAGGCCCGGATCCGGCTGACTATATCATGTGTTGTGGTCGTGTCCAGGCACAGGTCCTTCATCTGATCTGGATACGGCCCTGATCCGGCTGACCCTATCATGTGTTGTGGCCCGGATCCGGATAACTATATCATGTGTTGTGGTCGTGTCCAGGCACAGGTCCTTCATCTGATCTGGATACGCCCCGGATCCGGCTGACTACATCATGTGTTGTGGTCGTGTCCAGGCACAGGTCTTTCATCTGATCTGGATACGGCCCTGATCCGGCTGACCCTATCATGTGTTGTGGCCCGGATCCGGATAACTATATCATGTGTTGTGGTCGTGTCCAGGCACAGGTCCTTCATCTTATCTGGATACGGCCCTGATCCGGCTGACTACATCATGTGTTGTGGTCGTGTGTGGGTACAGGTCCTTCATCTGTTCTGGATACGGCCCGTATCCGGCTGACTACATCGTGTGTTGTGGTCGTGTCGTGTCCAGGCACAGGTCCTTCATCTGTTCTGGATACGGCCTGTATCCGGCTGATACGGGTGGTGGGCTGATACGGGTACGGGATATATGGTGGTGTTCTATTTGGTAGTGATGTAGGGGCCATGAATATATATATATATATATATATATATATATATATATATGAAGAGTTCAGATGCAAAAGCCTCTAAATGCCATTTGAAATTTTCTTCTTTAATGATGATTTTTATGAAACTTGTATATTTAAGTTCAGTAATTTCACTTAAATAACAATTAATAGGTAATTATCATTGCCATTTATGTGAAATCACTGAACTTAAATATACAAGCTTGATAAAAATCATCATTAAAGAAGAAAATTTCAAATGGCATTTAGAGGCTTTTGCATCTGAACTCTTCATATATATATATATATATATATATATATATATATATATATATATATATATAACTGCTTGGTTATCACCTTTTCTGCAATTTTTTTTTATCACCGGCAAAATGCTGATGGGTCTATAATTAGCAACATCAGTAGGATGGGTCTATAATTAGCAAAATCAGTTGCAATATCCCCTGTCTTGAAGATCGGAACGAACACTGCATCTTTCCAAGAAGTTGGAAAAATGTATTGCTCTACTGATAAGTTAACTAGGTGTGTAATGGGGGTGCTGAGGGAATGAATATTGTTCTTTAGAAATGTTGAATCCCACTTAAATGTATCTTTTGCCTTTGAGAACTTTAAAGTGCTTAATGTCTTTAAATTTTATCTTCAGGAACTTCAGTTATCTTAAAAATGGTCTTATTATAATCTGGTGTCACTATATTTTTAATTCTTGCACCAAAAGTGCCAGACAAATTCTGCATTGATGCGGTAAAATAAGTATTAAATACAGAAACGTTTTCAGTAATTATTTAAAATTCCATTAATCTTCAGCTTATATCCATTTCTCTGATTTTGCTCGTCTTTCTTTATTAGTTTATTTATGTTGCTCCATATCAATTTAATAATATCCATAATATATATATAATATATATATATATATATATATATATATATATATATATATAAATATAATATCCTTTGCCTTTGCTTTCTTTAGTTCGTTGACTACTTTATTAGGTTTAAATGTGTCTGTCAATAATAAATTTAGACTTCAATGCTACTTTCAGGAAATGTACTAAAAATTTACTATTTTAACCTCTTTCAATTGGTTGATTTTATCTATATTATTAAGATATCATTGGACAAAATGCAAACAGGTAAATGTGTATTTCACCAAGAATATTTGCATGTTTGCGAGCGAATAGGACTTTTATTTTGGTGACGATGTGACGTCATACGGATGCGTCGCGCTCCTGCGTTTGTGATGCAGCTGAATGAAGCAATGTGCAGTGAATGAATGATTATTGAGCGTAACAATGCATTAATGAACGTTATTTTGTGAGTAATACGTGTCCACACGTGAGTAACAGAAAGGGTGTGACTCATTTCGCGCCCTAAATCGTGAATCAGTTTATCATACACGAATTCAGCACAAGAAGTGATAACGGAGCGTTTCGAAACTACGAGTCATTTGAATCTATTGCATCGCAAACGATTCCTTTGCTCGAATCACCGCTGGCGAAACCAGATGATCAAAACAGTGCGACTATAACGAGAACACAAACGTGTATAACTATTTTTATAAACCATAGCAAATGTTTCATGAAAGTGTATATTGTTAAATGTAACATCTTTAAATATCTAATATAAATCGTAGCTCTGACTAGAGGAACACTCAGAGACTTACTGTGGATTATTTATTTTTTTCTGTTACGTTAATTATTCTCATCTTGAACATGACAAATTGTCCAAACAGGAAAACTCCTGGAGAAGCATCTGAGATCTACGTGACACTATTATAAAGATGGCCTTTATTAAAGAGGAGAGTGAAGACATAAAGATTGAAGAAGCTTTCATAGTGAAACATGAAGAGACTGAGGAACAAACAGGTGAGTTTCATTCTCAAAGTTGAAATCATTCATTTGATTCTCATTGAAATGTCGGCCTCTACAGAAATGAAAGATGTTTTTGAAGAATGTCATATGAGTTGACATGTTCAGATCACATGACCAGGTGTGTTTGACTTAGGCTGGATGTAACCGATCGGTGAGATTTATCTGCTGTGGTCATCAGAGCTTAATGCCCCGTTTACACGAAGGGAAGACGCAGATATCTCCCTGCGGCAGTGTTGGGGAAAGCTACTCTGAAACTGTAGTTTGATAAGCTACAAGCTACTCGTGCGTTAAAGTAGTTAAACTACAGTCAAGCTACCCTTTTGGAAAAGTAGTTAGCTTCACTACAAGTTACTATCAAAAAGTAGCTAGCTACATTGAAACTACTCTTGCTTTTTGAACAACATAAATATTATATTATTATAACATGTTATAAATTATATATTATAAATAACTGAATAAATGTCTGATGAATGTTTTAATTAAAATATTTAGTGTTTAAAACAATGCAATACAATTATGATTTCATAGAGTATTGTTTTTTACACACAACACTCAAATATCTCAAACTGTTTGTCAAAAGTGCAAAATTTCAACAAATAGCCTACAACATTGCAAGAACAAAATATACATCCAACGTAAATTGCATTTAGAACATTTTCTCAAAAATACCGATTGAACTTGGACAAATAAGGCCATGGGAAATTAACGTTAGTTGTTTCTCCATCCTCCAAATCTGCTGTTGCGTCTTACTGGATAATCATAATATGGGTGTGTCAACCCACTTCTGTACGTCAGTGAACCGTTAGCCGCAAGATGTGTGATTAAACAACAGGTGGCGGTAATGGCAAAAAATGAGTTTGTAATCTAACAAGAAGAAGAATATCCTTGCATCGCGCTGATTCGCGCAGGCTTGACAAACGCAATGTAGCTTTTGCTCGCGCTACACCGCTACTTGCTGCAAAAAGTAGTTAGCTACTGGAAAAGCTACACTGTTTAAAAAGCAACTGAGCTACTGCCAAGCTACTGAAAAATGTAGTTAAGTTAGTAGCGTCGCTACTTGTAGTTAACTACTCCCCAACACTGCCCTGCGGTTTTTCCTCTCATTTACATGAAAACCCCGTTTTTATCACAGAAAACGATTATTTCTAAAAACTGGAGAAACAGGGTTTTAGGTTCTCAAACGTCACATATGCGCCAGAAAATACTTAAAGGGTTAGTTCACCCAAAAATGAAAATTAAGTCATTAATTACTCACCCCCATGCTGTACCAACCCCGTAAGACCTTCGTTCATCTTCGGAACACAAATAATATAAAGATATTTTTGATTGAATCTGAGGGCTGGATCACTCCTCCATAGACAGCCTGAGGGACTGCCTCTTGACGGCCCAGAAAGTCATTAAAAGAAAAGGTTTAAATGTTCCATGTGCCTACAGTGGCTCAACTATAACTTTATCAAGCGACGAGACTACTTTTTGTGCGAAAAAAAAACGTAAATAACGACTTTATTCGACTTTCCATTACTTCCTTATGGGCGCATGCGCGAGAACTGAGACGAGACCGTTCTTCTTCGACTACTTTTTGTTACCGGCTGCTCACCGCTTAGGAGTTTTACCGCCCCCTACCGTATAAGATGACGTACTGATATAGCCGGAGGCGCAAAACGTTCTGTTTACAAGCAGTACGTCATCTTATACGGTAGGGGGCGCTAATACTCCTAAGCGGTGAGCAGCCGGTAACAAAAAGTAGTCGAAGAAGAACGGTCTCGTCTCAGTTCTCGCGCATGCGCCCATAAGGAAGTAATGGAAAGTCGAATAAAGTCGTTATTTACGTTTTTTTTTTCGCACAAAAAGTAGTCTCGTCGCTTGATAAAGTTATAGTTGAGCCACTGTAGGCACATGGAATATTTAAACCTTTTCTTTTAATGACTTTCTGGGCCGTCAAGAGGCAGTCCCTCAGGCTGTCTATGGAGGAGTGATCCAGCCCTCAGATTCAATCAAAAATATATTTATTTGTGTTCCGAAGATGAACGAAGGTCTTACGGGGTTGGTACAGCATGGGGGTGAGTAATTAATGACTTCATTTTCATTTTTGGGTGAACTAACCCTTTAACGTAACATGAGCCCCCAGTTTGTATGCACAATGTTATTATTGAAAATGGAGGGAATTATGAGGCCCTGTTTACACGAGAACGCTCGCGGGTGAAAACGTAAAAATATTTTATCAGATGTGCCTTTCGTTTACACGGCAACTGCGTTTTTGAGGCTTGAAAACGCAAAAAAGTGAAACCACCCTCCAGAGTGGAAATCTTAAAAACGCTCCCCAGCCGCGTTCCCGTGTAAACGGTAAAAGCGCAAAAGTCTGCTTGACAGTGAAGGTTGTACGCAGGCGCGTGGACTTGGTGTTGTTGTAGTATGCACTCCTAGCCGCCTGGAGTTGAATTGAATTTCACACACTTTTGAGTCACCATTTGCACGCGGATTTCCCACACAAAACGCTCGTCTAAACGCAGAATTAAAAGTGATAACACAACGCCACGTTTGCATTTTCTCTTCAGAATTGTTACCGTTTAAACATAGTCTAAGTTTCTCTAAACACCCGGCTATGTGTAAATGTGGTCCGAGTCAGCCGTCTGCTCTCGAGCTGCTCTTGCTGTACTCTCATGCCATATGTCACAGTGACAATTAAATACATCATAGATCATCTTTTTGGGCTTGAAATATTATCAAGATGAAATAATAAGCTTGTATAGGCTTAAAGGGATAGTTCACCAAAAAATTTAAACTCTGTCAGTAATTACTCTGCCTCATGTTGTTCAACCCTGTACGTCTTTCGTTCATCTTCGGAACACAAATAAAGATATTTTTGATTAAATCTGAGAGCCGGATCACTCCTCCATAGGCTTTGTGATCGGATCTCAGTGTAATGTAATCCAGCCATCGTGTCTGCATTCACAGGTAGAGGACGTCACACACACACACCCCACTGTCATTATTCCGCCTCCTCTCTCCGAAGTGAGAGCTGTGTGGTCTTACGAGACAGTCGAGTGCGAAGTACATCGCAAAGTTCATCCTCCTCATTTTGGGAGATTTGTAAAATGTCCCCCGACTGAAAACTGTTTCTAAAAGAAACCCACCACTTCAGTTCAACTTTGCACCGGAGCCACCCATATTTTTTTTTTCATGGGAATGCGAGAACTGATCTGTTATCCAGATAGAGAAGCCACTTGATGTGGACAGGTGTAGGCACCGTGTCCTGATTGGCTTATGATCAGATCTTGGTGATCACATGTTGATGCCATGTGTAACGTAGCCATAGATCTGTGTATCGTCAACATAGCAATGAAACCCCAAACCACACTTTCTAATGAATTTACCAAGAAGTAACCTATATATGCAAAACAATACTGATCCCAATACAGACCCCTGTGGGACACCCTGCTGAACTGGTGAAAATGGCTCTGGGGAATTTGTTATTTGTTATATATTGAATTTGTTATAAATTGTTTGTGGACATGTATTGCTGTAACTGGACAACACAAATTAGAGAAGGAAGTGGGGAGCGCATTTATAAAATGTGACTCAGTAGACGACTAAGACGAGCCAGAAGCAATGGAGCTGTAGATATTTTAAACTTTCTCATGAAAGTATTTGTGAATTTTTTTTTTTGCACATCCCTGATGCCGCTGATGCAGGCCTAATATCAACAATATCCCCTGTTAACTTTTCCAGTTGTGCAGTACGTTGTGAAGAAATATCAAAAGTATCACTGATATAAAATTGATATAACAATGAAATTAAATAATAATGTCCCCCAGCGAAGACATGTACAAGGAGAAAATCAGTGGACCTAAAACCGAGCCCTGTGGCACTCCGTACATGTGTCTAATGAGACGTCTGTTCATTTACACAAAGAAAATGTGCTTGTCCACAAATGCCAACATTATTCTCAAACTATCCAAGGGAAAGTCATGTTGTTGGAAGATCTAACAGCTTGTGAGATAGGCCTATAACTTAAAAGGGCACCTATTATGGAAAATTGTTGGCAGTGCGTGAGCAAAACCACCCTAGAATGATAAAAATCGACCCAGTGTTTTTTTTACAATCTCAATAAATCATGTGCACTGCCTCAGAACGAGCTGTTCTGAGATTCAGCTCTTTGTGACGTAGAATTGAGCGAGGGGTTTGATTGACAGTGTGGTTGTGGCATAGACCCCGCCCTCTGTGATCTGTACACACCATCCTCCATTGTTTCAATGACAGCCGGTAATGTCTCTTGGAAACAGAAATGTTCTGTCGTGGGTTAAAGGGTTAGTTCACCCAAAAATGAAAATTAAGTCATTAATTACTCACCCCCATGCTGTACCAACCCCGTAAGACTTTCGTTCATCTTCGGAACACAAATAAAGATATTTTTGATTGAATCTGAGGGCTGGATCACTCTTCCATAGACAGCCTGAGGGACTGCCTCTTGACGGCCCAGAAAGTCATTAAAAGAAAAGGTTTAAATATTCCATGTGCCTACAGTGGCTCAACTATAACTTTATCAAGCGACGAGACTACTTTTTGTGCGAAAAAAAAACGTAAATAACGACTTTATTCGACTTTCCATTACTTCCTTATGGGCGCATGCGCGAGAACTGAGACGAGACCGTTCTTCTTCGACTACTTTTTGTTACCGGCTGCTCACCGCTTAGGAGTTTTACCGCCCCCTACCGTATAAGATGACGTACTGCTTGTAAACAGAACGTTTTGCGCCTCCGGCTATATCAGTACGTCATCTTATACGGTAGGGGGCGGTAAAACTCCTAAGCGGTGAGCAGCCGGTAACAAAAAGTAGTCGAAGAAGAACGGTCTCGTCTCAGTTCTCGCGCATGCGCCCATAAGGAAGTAATGGAAAGTCGAATAAAGTCGTTATTTACGTTTTTTTTTCGCACAAAAAGTAGTCTCGTCGCTTGATAAAGTTATAGTTGAGCCACTGTAGGCACATGGAATATTTAAACCTTTTCTTTTAATGACTTTCTGGGCCGTCAAGAGGCAGTCCCTCAGGCTGTCTATGGAAGAGTGATACAGCCCTCAGATTCAATCAAAAATATCTTCATTTGTGTTCCGAAGATGAACGAAGGTCTTACGGGGTTGGTACAGCATGGGGGTGAGTAATTAATGACTTAATTTTCATTTTTGGGTGAACTAACCCTTTAATCCTGTTGTTGTGGCTTAAAAGTTAATCCTCAAGTGTGGATTGTCGTCTACTTTTTGCGATCCACCGTCACCTCTAGTAACAGTAAGTGTATTTTATGATTTTTGAGCAAATAGTCTTTTCAGTCAATGTCAGCCAATTCAACAACAAATGCGTCTAAAGTTGTTGTCGTCGTAGGATGTCTTTGTAGGCTATATAATTTAAACCTTGTTTGTATAGTGTGTAACCACACATTTATATATATTTAAAGATATTGTATTAAAAACTGCATATATGTTGTTGTTCTGTAAGTTAGCCATCTCCTCACATTTGCCACAGAAGCACCTGTATGACAAGTAAACATGACGCCACAGGTCCCTCGCATAAATGTAATTTCGCTTGTACGTAGCAAACTTTATCACAGTATGTGTATGTAATTTCAAAAAAAATTGCGCCAGCATTAGTGTTTGTGTGTGTCTGTTGCTCATGCCCATCATTTCAAAGGGGACGCGATTACAACGCTATAAGTACATAAATGTATCAAATAACCATACCGAGACGTACTGGTCCATTCTCATTTGTGTTTATTCTGCCGGAGTCTCTTCGTACTATTTATATATTCCGATTCAAACGTACGCTGAATGACATTCAAAACAGCGGTTTCTCTCTCAGTACCGACTGCCATAGGCATCAAGTTATGCCCTCATCCAAAGGCAGGGCGGGGATATGCAGCTCATTTGCATTTAAGGTGGTATACCCCCGAAACAGCTCATTTTTAAACAGGCCCCAAAATGACATTTTCAAATGGTTATAATAAATTAACTGTGGGGTATTTTGAGCTGAAACTTCACGAATACATTCTGGGGACAACCGAGACCAATATTACATCTTGTAAAAAGGGGCATAATAGGTGCCCTTTAATGCACAGTTTATGTGCTACAATTGGGTTCGGATTCTGAATGAAATACCATTTCAGTGCAAAACGACATTGTTGAAAGGACACTATTTTTCTAATATTTTATACATGAACAGGTGATTTGCCATCAGTCTTTAAAGGGGCACCAGACAAGAATGCTGTTTTTGTCAAACAGCGACCCCTAGAGTAACTGTGGAGTAATTGTTTTTAACATTGCTGTCGTAAATACCACTCACGGAGGACATGACGTGTTACATAGTATACAATAGTACATTGTGTGTAATTTGTCATTTAATGAGATCTAATATATGTTGTTAGTGGTGAGAATTCTCACGTGATTAAATGGATATAATGGTCCAGAGGAAGAACTTTTGCCATGTGTGTCACAGGTTCTGGGTTCTAATCCTTACTAATAGTATAGTTTATTTTCCTCATCAAAACCGATTGTTTATTAGTGGCTGTATTTCAAGCAGGGACATGTTTTTTGTGCATTGGGTTTTGTGATTTCACCGTAATGAGTCTCTCAGTCCCCGCAATGGATTGAGCAATGAGAGCGCGTCCATTTGAAGATCACAACAGACCACTGAATCCACTGAAACCGATCGCAGCGGCAACGAGCACTTTGGTCACTTGATTTCACAAACAACACATTTCAGATCGCCTCTTATTTAACAAACGAAATAAATGAATTACCTGGAGATGTTTTATTTGTTTGTATTGGTACATCCGTGCTGCGAGATGTTTGGCCTGAAATTGCAAGTGAGATTTTTCCGCTCACAGGCACCAGGGGGGGTCAACCCGAAAGAAGTCATATAACCATTTCAATAAATATGAAGCTGTTAAATTAAGCTAAAATAAATGCATAGTGTCCCTTTAATAAACCATTTTTTTCCGGGTTGAGCTGTGTTTGATAAAGGGTTTGATAACTGGCATGTTTTTGTCCTAAAGAATGTGAAGAGGTTACAATATTGAGAAGAGTTTCTGAAATTTCAAGTATCACCTCTTTCAGTAACTTGATGCATATATTATACATGCTGTTTTTATGCTTTGTTGTTTTTCATGCCGTGTGAACTTGTATTCGTCTGTTTTTCGCTTTAGACCTGATGGCGCCGAAAGAGGAGAGTCAAGAACTGAATAATATGCAAGTGAAAGATGAGAATCATGATCTCACGATCAGAGAAAAATCTACACCGACTGAAATGACTTGCTCAAAAAAAGGAGCCCAGAAGACCAAATCTAACAGCGATTTCAACTGCAGTCACTGTGGAAGGAGTTTCAATCATAAACAAAACTTTGAAGTCCACGTGAGGACTCACACTGGAGAGAAGCCTTACACATGCCAACAGTGTGGAAAAAGTTTCACTCAAAAACAAAACCTTAAAGTCCACATGAGAATTCACAATGGAGAAAAGCCTTACACCTGCCAACAGTGTGGAAACAGTTATGCATACAAAGGAAGCCTTAATGCCCACATGAGACTTCACACTGGAGAGAAGCCTTACACCTGCAATTACTGTGGGAAGTGTTTCACTCAAAATGGAAACCTCGAGGTTCACATGAGAATTCACACTGGAGAGAAGCCTTTCAAGTGCCCTCGCTGTGAGGAGAGTTTCAGATGTCAAAGAGACCTGAAACGCCACTTGCAGACTCACTCTGGAAAGATATTGCATTGTTCCGAATGTGGCAAGATGTTTACGACAAGGAGACATTATAAAAATCACCTGCGACTTCACTCTGGGGAAAGACAATTTAATTGTGATGATCAGTGTAATAAAACAAATGCTTGTGCCATCATCCCAGATAGCAAACTGACATTGAATCAACGTGGAAATATGACATCGAAACAACGTTGATCTGACATTGTTTTGCTCATCGAATTAACGTTGAACCAACGTCAGACGCGTCATTCTTTCAAAACTAACGGAAAATCAACTTGAAATCAACGCGTTGTTTCAACGTTATGAAAGCAAACCAATTTTCGATTTTCATTTAGCTTTGAAGAATGCCGCGTCTGACGTTGGTTCAACGTTAATTCGATGAGCAAAATCAACGTTGTTTCAATGTCATGAGAGACGTCGTTTCCACGTTGATTCAATGTCAGTTTGCTGTCTGGGATCTCACTTACAGATACACCTAAAAAGTCATGCTGATGTGAGTCCCTATTAGGGGTTGAACCGATTAGTCGATTAGTCGACCTTAATGCAATGCCGTGACGCTTTAAGCTTGACGTCGACTATAGTCGCATTGATCATGTGACACTATATGATTGCGCTAATTTTAATAGTATATGGCCGATAACAGATGAAGAGCCCAGAGGGTCATTGCAGCAAGAAAGCAGCATTGGCACATAAAGCGTATGGGAATACTTTACTAACGTAGCACCACTATATTGTTGAAACGAAAGTAAAAGCATGACGCACGCTCACTATTTTACCGGGAAATGTGAGCAGTCTCTTTTAAAATCATTCAAACGTTAGCCTATTTTTTTTCATATCTTTATTTAAACATATTAATGCATCTAATTCACCCGCAATCGATTGGAATAGTATTATTTTGTATTACTTAGATCCATCATTAACGTGCAGATGTGAATTTATGGCTTTTTTTTTTTTTCATCCTAAATGATGGTGTAAACAGCGGGCTGTTTAGCTACTGTACATCTGGCCACTTCACGTGTTTCTGTGATCTGATTACGAAAAGACCAGGTGTAAGCTATGCCCCTCGAAACGCATTTGAGACGTGAATGACGTCAGCGACTAGTCGACGTCGACTCGACTTTGATGTCATAACAGTCGACTTCAAAAAATCTGTTGTGGTCGTGTCTAGCCGCAGGTCCTCCATCTGATCTGGATACGGCCCGGATCCGGATGACTACATCATGTGTTAGAACTATTAGAACTATGATATTCTATACTTTTAGGAAGTCTATTGAGAAGCCTTGAAAAAAAAGGTGAATAAAGATAAGGATTGAGTGAAAAAAAAAATGTTCAGAAATTAATTTATTATTATTTTCTTGAACTATGCTGTATAGCTTTTTTTCCCCGATGTGTTGACTACACAGTGTATGGCATTCAGCCATACCAGAATTAGCTACAAGCTAAATTTCATCTGTAGTCCCTGGGCAGGAAAGGAAAACATACAATTAACAATCCTACAAACACATATAAATATACCATAAAACATCATCACACAAATCGCCTCTCAGACAACAAATAAGTTAAGTTAACTAGGTGTGTAATGGGGGTGCTGAGGGAATGAATATTGTTCTTTAGAAATGTTGAATCCCACTTAAATGTATCTTTTGCCTTTGAGAACTTTAAAGTGCTTAATGTCTTTACATTTTATCTTCAGGAACTTCAGTCATCTTAAAAACGGTCTTATTATAATCTGGTGTCACTATATTTTTAATTCTTGCACCAAAAGTGTCAGACAAATTCTGCATTGATGTGGTAAAATAAGTATTAAATGCAGTTTAAAGTTTTTTCAGTAGGATCATTATTTAAAATTCCATTAATCTTCAGCTTATATCCATTTCTCTGATTTTGCTTGTCTTTCTTTATTAGTTCATTTATGTTGCTCCATATCAGTTTACTATTTCCTTTTCCATCTTTAATAATATCCATAAAAAACTTTGCCTTTGCTTTCCTTAGTTCATTGACTACTTTATTAGGTAGGTTTAAATGTGTCTGTCAATAATTAATTTCAAGACTTCAATGCTACTTTCAAGAAAAGTACTAAAAATGTACTATTTAATCTCTTTCAATTGGTTGATTTTATCTATATTATTAACACGTCATTGGACAAAATGCAAACTGGTAAATGTGTATTTCACCAAGAATATTTGCATGTTTGCGAGCGAATAGGACTTTTATTTGGTGACGATGTGACATCATACGGGTGCGCCGCGCTCCTGCGTTTGTTTTGCAGCTGAATGAAGCAATGTGAAGTGAATGAATGATTATTGAGCGTAACAATGCATTAATGAACGTTATTTTGTGAGTAATACGCGTCCACACGTGAGTAACAGAAAGGGTTTGACTCATTTCGCGCCCTAAATCGTGAATCAGTTTATCATACTCGAATTCAGCACAAGAAGTGATAACGGAGCTTTTCGAAACTACGAGTCATTTGAATCTATTGCATCGCAAACGATTCCTTTGCTCGAATCACCGCTGGCGAAACCAGATGATCAAAACAGTGCGACTATAACGAGAACACAAACGTGTAATGACTATTTTTATAAACCATAGCAAATGTTTCATGAAAGTGTATATTGTTAAATGTAACATCTTTAAATATCTAATATAATATAAATCGTAGCTCTGACTAGAGGAACACTCAGAGACTTACTGTGGATTTATTTATTTTTTTTGTTACGTTAATAGTCTCATCTTGAACATGACAAATTGTCCAAACACAGGAAAACTCCTGGAGAAGCATCTGAGATCTACGTGACACTATTATAAAGATGGCCTTTATTAAAGAGGAGAGTGAAGACATAAAGATTGAAGAAGCTTTCATAGTGAAACATGAAGAGACTGAGGAACAAACAGGCAAGTTTTTTATTCTCAAAGTTGAAATCATTTATTTGATTCTCATTGAAATGTCGGCCTCTACAGAAATTAATGATGTTTTTGAAGAATGTCATATGAGTTGACATGTTCAGATCACATGACCAGGTGTGTTTGACTTAGGCTGGATGTAACCGATCGGTGAGATTTATGTGCTGTGGTCATCAGAGCTTAATGCCCCGTTTACACGAAGGGAAGATGCAGATATCTCCCTGCGGAGTAGTAGTTGAGAGGACACTATTTTTCTAATGTTTTATACATGAATAGGTGATTTGCCATCAGTCTTTAATAAACCATTTTTTCCGGGTTAAGCTGTGTTTGATAACTGGCATGTTTTTGTCCTAAAGAATGTGAAGAGGTTACAATACTGAGAAGAATATCTGAAATTTCAAGTATCACCTCTTTCAGTAACTTGATGCATATATTATACATGCTGTTTTTATGCTTTGTTGTTTTTCATGTCTCTTGCTTCATGCCGTGTGAACTTGTATTCGTCTGTTTTTCGCTTTAGACCTGATGGCGCCAAAAGAGGAGAGTCAAGAACTGAATAATATGCAAGTGAAAGATGAGAATCATGATCTCACGATCGGAGAAAAATCTACACCGACTGAAATGACTTGCTCAAAAAAAGGAGCCCAGAAGACCAAATCTAACAGCGATTTCACCTGCAGTCACTGTGGAAGGAGTTTCAATCATAAACGAAACTTTGAAGTCCACGTGAGGACTCACACTGGAGAGAAGCCTTACACATGCCAACAATGTGGAAAAAGTTTCACTCAAAAACAAAACCTTAAAGTCCACATGAGAATTCACAATGGAGAGAAGCCTTACACCTGCCAACAGTGTGGAAACAGTTATGCATACAAAGGAAACCTTAATGCCCACGTGAGACTTCACACTGGAGAGAAGCCTTACACCTGCAATTACTGTGGGAAGTGTTTCACTCAAAATGGAAACCTCGAGGTTCACATGAGAATTCACACTGGAGAGAAGCCTTTCAAGTGTCCTCACTGTGAGGAGAGTTTCAAATATCAGAGAGACCTGAAACGCCACTTGCAGACTCACTCTGGAAAGATATTGCATTGTTCCGAATGTGGCAAGATGTTTACGACAAGGAGACATTTTAAAAATCACCTGCGACTTCACTCTGGGGAAAGACAATTTAATTGTGATGATCAGTGTAATAAAACAAATGCTTTTGCCATCATCTCACTTACAGATACACCCAAAAAGTCATGCTGATGTGAGTCCCTCATTAGTGTTTATTGTGTGGGAAGAGTTTTGAATATTTGCACCAGCAAATATGTTTCTGTGTAAAATGAAGACTATGTACACAAAACTACTTCAATGTTGACCGAATCTGACTGTCTACCTTCATAACTGTTTCTTTCTTAACCTCTTTATACTTTGTCTTGAGGCTTTTTCTTTTCTTTTGTACATATGGACTGCTGTGGCCACGCATGACCACCTGACGTTCCACGACCCTAAAGTTAGTTTCCGTGTCCAGGGATCGGGTTGTTGGGGTCCCTGCCTTCGACTGCCGCCCGATCCACCATGCATCGGTTCCTTATGGTCCCTCCTGCAGGTGTTGAGCCCACAGTAGGGCGGCCCCACGTCGCTCCTTCAGGCTCTGCCTGGCCGGGCCCAAAGGGGGCAGGTCCAGCCTCCAGACGATGGGCCCCGGCTGCACCATGTCGGGCGACGTCACAGTCCCAGTTTTTCCTTGCAACATAAGGGGTTTATGAACCCCTCTTAGTCTGACCTGATCCCTAGGACCTTTTTGCCTTGGGAGACCCTTGAAGGGGCATATAGCCCTGGAAAACATAGCTCCTAGGATCGTTCATGTATTCAATCCTCTCCACCACGTTAGGTGGCACTTCATTAAGGAGTGTTTTGAAATTGCCATCACTAGTGTTAAGTTTAGTTCAAGTCAAGTTTGTTCCAACTGTACTTGGATTTTCAAGGATACTTGGATTTTTCCAACTTGATTCCGTGGAAAAGTTACAAAAAGATCGGACAGATCTCATGAAGTAGCGTGTGTATGACACACCGATTCGTATTTTCATTTTTGGCGTGCTATCAAGACGCATAATCGCCTTTCAGCGTGTTTATGAACGCCGTTGACTTAACGTTATATAAATATATGACTTACCTCAACCCCGTCCCTAAACCTAACCGTCACTGGGGTTAATGGCATTTATGACTGGAGATTTGACGCGGACGTTAATGGCGTATTTCCAAGTGAAACGGAACATTGAACAGAGGGCAGGGTTTTTTTACTAGCGCTCCTCCTCTCCATCTCTCGCTCATAGCAAACTAACGGTTTGAGGGGAGTGGTTAAGCGTTTCCCCACCCAAGCTGTGAAACCTACGTCATCAGAAAAAGAAACCGTTCCAGACCGGAAGTAACTTTTCAGATTTTGATTAAAGATTACCAAGGTAAAACATTTTTTAATATATATTTACTTGCACGGATTAATTGTTCACCACAAGACTAGTAATATGCGCTAACAAAGTAAATAGGTTCAATTTTGATTTCACTGGGACTTTAAACAGGTAAAAAACAACAAATAGATACAATTGAACAAAGATACGATTGAATTAAGTGTTTTATGATATTCAGGTACAGAAAGTGTAATCAAATGATTTTAACGGTTCAATTCTCTCAAGAATGCATTTGATGATCCTCGATATCAAGCCCTTTCATGTGTCCTCTGTATATGTGTTCTGGAATATTGACAGTTGATGATGACGTAATAAAAATTAAGCAAAAGAGTATATAGCACAACTAATATGTGAGTCTGTCTAGATAAAAGACAAAACAAAGTATAATAAACTTTATCATAAATAAACAAGGCTTTTCCATCAAGTTAAACATTTTTTCCCATAGTATTTACACTTTATGTATTGCTGACTTTATGAAATCATTGTAAATGCTTAACAGGATGGACATCTGTCACACACAAAGATTATGTTGTTATCAGAAGATGTTTATAATAAAACACCAGAAAAGACGAACACAGGGAACCACAACGACCAGGTGACATGCAGGATAATGATTTTTTTTTATCTATACTATTTTAGCATTAACATTAACCATACTTTTTTTTTTATCTTCTACTTATTCTTGTTGCAGATGTATGCACTTCAATGCTGACACATATGAACTGTGCTTTAAGAACTCGTTCAGTCTTTTTAACAATTAGTAATTCTTAATCTTTTTCATCACATCATAGGACAACATGTATTAACATATACTTCACCATGAATTCCCATGACATCTATTATATATATTTCAATGTACTATGGATCTTGGACAGCAGATTGAAGACTTTTATTTTGGTCTGGTGAAATGACATCATAAAGCTGCGCCGTGCTCCTGCAACTGTTGTGATTAGACTGAAGAAAGTTTGGTGATTTTGCGCATTTAAAGAGTTTAAATCGATACACGTCAATTTGATTGTTTTTACTAGAGGTATGTGACCATGTTTGAACATTTCTTTGTTATGCTTAATGTAACAATTTTGTGTTTTTTGAGTAAAGCGTATTTGAATGTGAGTTACAGAAAAGATGCGTCTCAATTCGCGCACTATATCTTGTATCAGTTTCTCGTAAACACGAATTCGGGTTTTGGAAAAGTGGTGATGGAGAAACGGAGCTTTTCGAAACTCAATTGAATCTAATGCTTTGCCAAATGATTCACTGATTCGAAGAGCTTGAATCACCGCGCGCTGACGACTCGTGTCGCTCTAAACAGAGTAAAAATACAACGAAAACACAATTATGATGATTAAAAATGACAAATTTCATGAACAAGTCTTAAATGTTTTTATGACAACGTAATCTGTTGAATCTACAAATTATTAAATATAAAGTGCTTATAATTTATTTTATATTGTTGGTCTTGTTTTGAGTGATTTTTGTCTGGTCAGTTGATTTAAGTCCATTATCTCTCTCACTCTGACTGACTCCCTCACCAGTGCGCTGAACTACTGAACTAGAGCTGATTGAAACACACAGAGATTTACTCTGGATTTATTTTTCTTTCTGTTAATTATTCTCATCTTCAACAATTTTTCAAACACACAGGAAAACTCCTGGAGAAACATCTGAGATCCACGTGACACAATTAGATGGCGTTGATTAAACAGGAGAGTGAAGACATAAAGATTGAAGAAGTGTTCAGCGTGAAACATGAAGAGACTGAGGAACAAACAGGTTAGTTTCATTCAGCCCTATTTAAAGGGGTGGTAAAACATGATTTCACCTTCTAACTTTAGCTAGTGTGGAAATTTGAGCATACCCAGCAAACATGCTCCTTTGGGGCCCGAATGGTTTATTCACAGTCATGTAAAAAATATATACTATACATTACTGTTAAAAACTTTGAGGTCAGTAAGATTTTTTGAATTGCCCTACTTTTGAACAAAATAATTTTACGAAGTAATTATTCCTGGGATGTTAACTGGATTTTCAATAGCTAGCATCTAGTCATCAGCAAATCGTGAAAAAAAATCAGGAATGTTTGAACAGAAATGTCAAAAGAGTAGCATTTATTTGAAAAAAAATTTGAGTAAAAAAAAATTAATCATATAAAACCACATCATATTAAGGTAGATTATGAATCCTCTGATAAAATAAATCAATCCCCTCAGATACCGGAGTAACTTGCATTAGGATCAGCATCAACCCCTTTGGATGCTGTGTAAAGTGAGAAAAACAACAACAACAATTGAAATGTTAACATAAAAAAATTATTTTAAAAAACGGGGGTTGTTCCAAGTGTAATTTATACACTTGTGTCTTCCCAAGGGTTAGGCCGTTTCCACCTCAGAGAACAGAGAATCTTCTGCCCTTTGACTGGAGGATAATTTGAAATCCGGAAAAATAGTTATTAATATTAAAAACAAATGTAGGTGGTGTTTGTTGAGAGAGAAACATACAGAGGGCATGTTGAAATGAGAGCATGAGAATGATTTACAAAAAATATCAACACAATATATAATTTTCATTGGCGTCATTTACGGGGGGACGGGGGGGACATGTCCCCACCACTTTTTGCCAGGGTCGATTTTTGTCCCCACCGCTTTTTAAACATCTCACGGCACAGATGTACCAGTACAAATAAAACATTTCCAGTTAACAGCATTCGTTTCATTTGTTTGTTAAATAACAGGCGATCTAGCACTGAAATGTGTTGTCTTCTAAACGCGCTTCAATCTGTTGCAGAGATTCGTTCCGGTGAAATCACAAATCAAAATGCACACAAACGTGTCCCTGTTTCTCATGGGTTTTAATCCGCTCTCGTATATTTTTTTCCCTCATCAAAACATTTACAACCACTGATTAACATTATATCACTTCAACAACCACTGATAAACATTATTGGTTTTGATGAGGGGAAAACTATACGAGTGCGGATTAGAACCTCAAACCTCCCGAGTCCCGACACGCTAGGCAAAAATTCTACCTCTGGACCACCACTGTACAAAAATAATTTGTAAAAAAATGGCTGTAAAAAATAATTCTGCATTGTTTATCCTTTTGATCTTCCATTCAAAAAATTGGCAAAATTCTAACCTTTCATTGAAGCAAAAGAATTGAAAGTGGGGGTAAATCACACTATGAAATAAATGTTTTTCTCCAAAACACTCTGGCCATAATTATTGGCACCCTGTTATTAAAAACTTTTTGCAACCTCAGATCTGTAAACTTTTGCCAAGATAACAGATCTGAGTCTTCTCCTATAATGCCTGATGAGTTTGGAGAACACCTGACCAGAGATCAGAGACCATTCCTCCATACAGACTCTCTCCAGATCCTGCAGATTCCCAGATCCATGTTGGTGCTTCTTCTCTTCAGTTCACTCCACTCATCAGGTCAGGGTCTGGGACGGTCATGGCAGAAGCTTCATTTTGTGCTCCGTAACTAATTTTTGTGTTGATTTTGATTTTTGTTTTGGATCGTTGTCCTGATGGAAGATCCAACCACGGCCCATTATAAAATTTCTAGCAGAAGGCGTCAAGTTTTTATTTTTTATCTTTTTGTATTTGATAGAATCCATAATGCCATGTATCTGAACAAGATGTCCAGGACCTCCAGCAAATAAATAGGCCCACAACATATAAGATTGCGCAGTATATTTAACCGTAGGCATTGGCTACTCTTCTTCCCTGTTTGCACCAAACACATCTGCTGGGTTTGCTGCCAAAAAGCCCCTTTTTTAGTTTCATCTGACCACAGAACCCTGTGCCGTTTGAAGATCCAGTCGTGTCTGACACCTGAATATGCTGGAGTTTGTTTTTGGAGGAGCGAGGAGCATTTTTCTTGAAACCCTCTCAAACAACATGTGGGAATGTAGGGGTTGTCTGATATTTTTTTTTTAGTTTTTCTGACCCCAAGACTCAACTAATCTCTGCAATTCTCCATCTGTGATCCTTGAAGAGACTTTGGACACTCAAACTTTCATCCTCACCGTCCATTAAGGCAAAATAGACACACGTCCTCTTCCTGGCAGAATCATAACATCTTTAGTAGATTATAACTTCTTAATTATTGCCCTGATGGTCAAAATGGGAATTTTCAATTCTTTAGCTATTTTCTTGCATCCACTTTCTATTTTGTGAAGCTCAACAATCTTTTGATGCACATCAGAACCATGTTCTTTGGTTTTATTCATTGTGATGGATGATTCAGGGAATTTGACCTTTGTGCTTCCTCATATTTAAACTCCTTGAAACAAGAAGTCATAGCTGGACAATTTCATGTTCCTAGTCACCCTGATGTGCTTAAAAAATTTAATATTAATGGGAATGTACTTCAGAGATATTTTTCTCATAAAAAATTCTAGGGGTGCCAACAATTATGGCCAGAGTGTTTGGGAGAAAAACATTTATTTCATAGTGTGATTTACCCCCACTTTCAATTCTTTTGCTTCAATGAAAGGTTAGAATTTTGCCAATTTTTTGAATGAAAGATCAAAAGGATAAACAATGCAGAATTATTTTTACAGCCAGTTTTCATCATATTTACTAGGGGTGCCATTAATTCTGAGCACGACTGTATACTCGCTATACTCTGACTTTGTGCTCATTTTTATTTATGTACATCAGGAAGCTACAGGACATCGTCTTTCAAAACATGACCTACTTGAAAGAAAAAAAAAGAATGAATGCCTCATTGTACCCAGCACTTTTGAAAATGCCCTTCCGAATATGTCTCTCCCCAGCACATTTCAAACCAAACTGACGGCCATGATAATTTTTTTCAACTTGTACTCACACTCATGACATTCCAAACCTGCATTATTTCTTCTGTGGAAGATTCTTCTGATATTTTAAAAAATGACTCAATAAAAAGTCAATGTGATTTTCATTGTATGGACAAAACAGATTAAACATTATTCAAAATTCTTCTTTTGCATTCCACAGAAAAAAGCAAATAATACATTTTTGGAACAACATGAAGAACAACCCCTCAATGTCTTTATCAAGAAATCATTGATGGCTTTAACTTGCAGCATGAATATGTCATTTCTATAAAAGAAAATACAGACAATGTGTCCGACAGTCAAAAATGTACTTGCACAGAAAAAGAGTGACCTCTACCCGAGTGACTCTGTTGGGTTTATTTAGCTGTTTGACACACAACACAATTAAATGAGTCATAACCTAGTATTACCTTGGATACCCACACTCTATTATAGTCTTTCAGGCCTTTCTAAAAAAGAAAAGTGGAAAAAAAATAAACACTAAACACTCTGACCCTTATTTCTGAATGCATTATTGTCTCGCGAGATCAGATGCGATATTTTGGCTGTCGTGGACGGTCATTTTAATAATGCAAATGAGGGGCTTGCTGATTGGTGGCAGGAAGGAGGGGTTTGACACAGCAGGTAACTTCAGCATATCATTCCAAAATAACATCATGGTGCAAGTTGTGAATGAACCCCATGTCTATGAATGGACCCGACCTGGCCGCGACCTACGTAATTCAAGCATATATGTTTGAGCCAGACTCTGAACCAGAGCTGGAAACGGAAGATATTGAGTCAATGGAAGGACGTCTACATCAACATGTCTCTGAATAGTAAAGACAATCATTTTGACTGAGACATAGGTACATTAACACCAGTAACAAGCTAAAACGTTTGTTGCTATTTTCTCCCACATAAGTTTACCTTTTATTTAATGTAGATTACATTAACGGAGATGTAGTCTACTTTTTTTTAGCTTACAGTGGTTATAGAGATCAACGTTTGCTATCATGTGTTCTTTTTGCCTTGTTTCACCACGCACTTCTTATAACTTACTGTGTTTACTCAGCTCTTACTGTGATTTTCTGAAGTAAAACTGACGCTTCATCTTTTGTGTGATGTACAATAAACTTTATTAAACTCATCAGTATATGTTTGATCATCATTCGGACCTGTCTGAAAAAAGCAGACTTGTAGGCTATTAATAAATAATGGATACATACAAGCAGATGACAAATACGTTATAATAACCGTAATTTAACTACTAAACTATACCTGTTCCATCTCTATACAGCACTCTGACTCTGTAGGCATTATTGTCCGACTCGAAATGAACGTTGTAAAGGATTCCTGTGTAAAATGTTTAGCGCAGACACCTAAGTTAACGTTGAGCCAGTTGACCAAGAAAGATGCAGAAATGTAGTGCACACGTGAGTTGCTCAGTGGTTGACTGCCAGAAGTCAACCGCGCTGTCCCTCTCCCCTCCTCCCGGGGAGAGGGACAGCGCGGGCTTCCTGCAGCATATGTCTGCGGTGTCCATATATGGTATATCCTGCCCCGTCTTGACGTCAAGTCGGGGGAGAAATTAAAATCTCGTATTTGAGTATCTCTTCCCTTGTTCAGCTATCTCCCACAACTGGTGGTTTTTCGAAGGTAACCCCAGATTGTAGGTCTGTCAGGTTATTGGCCTCTGGCCTTCCCGAAGGATGAGGTTCCACATGCTGTGGTCGCCGGGTTTCAGGCTGCACAATGTACGGGTTTTCTGACATGAGCCCTCATGTTTCGGAGCTCCCCACACAGTGGGTCATCAGGTCTTAGGTCTCATTGACCTTCCTGATTTTGATCCCTCTCTTACTTCCTCAGTGCTCAACAGCGAGTGCTAGGTGGAAACTCATGGATTGAGTGAACGGTTCCCGTTGTTTTGAGGTTGAGTCACACTCTCTGGAGGATCCCGTCTCTGTGATCCGAAACTTGATGGTTTCTACTAGCTTCGTGGGCCTTCAGTTTTTGGATGCCTTTCCTAGGCAATTTCCAGAGGCTCTGTCTCGGACGGACAGGCTATGGCCACACTGTGTGTCTTAGTACAAATCACCAGGCCAGCCTGGGGGCATTTCAGGAGGAGCGTTCTCCTGAATAGTGACTGACTGAGGGTCCCTTTGGCCCCCTAGCCACACTCCCTAGAAGGGACCCCTTCTATTTGGAAGTTGTGGTCCTAAAGCCTTTGAGCTGGCCCAGATTTACTCACGTTTATTACGTTTTTTGTTTATTCTTAGTTCATTAGCTTGGGCTATGACCGGTAGGGAGTGCTGTCACTGACAGCCCGTTGTGAGGGAATTACTGGTTCTGATAGTTGTCACTGCCTTTTCGGCATGCACTCCCCTCAGCATGGCGGAGTGGGTATTTCGTTGCCCATAACGTCATTCGACGTATTGTTGAGTTCCCTTCGAAAGGGAACGTCTCAGGTTACGACTGTAACCTATGTTCCCTGAGAACAGGGAACGAGACAATACGTCTCGTTGCCATGCCTCGGGGCCTGCCTGCAACAGTCCCTTCAGACGATAGGATGTTGTCACGGTTTCAAGGCGCCCTTTTTATACATCCAGATTGATGCGCTCATCATTCAAGCTGATGATTGCAGCACCTGTGGAGCACACCGGTCTCGCATCTCTCACAGAGGAGCGGAGCCATAAAGGGGGAGTGACGGAGTGGATGATAGAGAGAGGAACAGGCTTGCTTTTGTTTGTATTTTTCAGGGTTTTATTTTGGTTAGCCAGGAGTCGTCCGCGAGGGGCTGCTGGCCGGTAGTTATGTTTTATTTTGGGTAGCCAGCAGTTTTGTGAGGGACTGCTGGCAGGTGTTTTGTTTGTTCATTTAATTTAAATAAAGTTTTATTTTCGATTGTTATCCGGTTCCTGCCTTCTTCTTCCCTGAACCTTGCTACAGTGTTTTACTGTTTTACAAAGCGCGCATTAGTATTTTAAAATGAAAGCAGCCTTCTCAGTGATTTTCATAGTTTTAATATATAAGCCAACTGCATTCCAAAAGACATAAATAATGCCTCTGTGAAGCATTTGTAAGGAAAATTCCCGCGGGAGAGAACGCGCACTGCAAGAGTATAACTTCAAGCAAAGCGGTAAAACAGTGCAACGAAGCCCGCGAATGTCCTTGTAATTCGGTTCATCCCCGAACTTTATGAAATAACGTTACTATGTTTCGGAAGGTTCGAGCGATGTTGTGTGTGTGTGTGTGTGAGAGTGAGTAAGAGAGCGAGAGAGAGAATAGAAGCAAGCAGAACACGGTTCGTTTCTGAAGCACGCGCAGCATCATCACGCATCTGTGTTTAAAAACTAAGCTCAGACTCGATTCTGAAATCGATCCAGGATTGTTGGGGAGAGAATAAATAACACAATATCACATACATTAAAAATAAACTGTTCTTTTCTGAACGCCAGACCACGTAGCATGGCAAGTTGATGCTTGATCTTGCAGACTGTTCCCACGTGTCACGTGACCAGTGTAATCGCAGCTCTCGCGATTACAAAATCGCGTTTCATCATATAGCGATTTTATCGCAAATGCAATTAATTGTTTAGCCCTAGTCTTTTTCTGTCTTCTCAGGTGTGAACCAACTAATTATTCACAAGGGGGTTGGGCCATTGACGCCCATTCGCAGATTGCCTTGTTTTTTAAAATTTTTTGCCAAAATTTAAAAGAATCTATTGTGTTATGTGAATGATTAGGCAGGATGATTTTCAGATCATTTTGAAGCAAAAACTCTAGGCGACAACTTCCATTAGTCAAAACTCTTGTGGACACATATTTAGTATGTGTTTTGTGGCCTTATTTCAGAAACTTTAATTTTTAGTTTTTTTCAATAACCATGCATAAAGGATATTCTCTCAAAAACAAGCATTGTACATACATGTTGCTCACATATTATGGTAGCTCCGTTTGTGCTATATAGAGTGAATTTACTCCTTTGCAATTAACATGTTTATAAATAACTGAAAAAAGCACAAATGTCAGTGCATGTCAAAACATCCAAAGGGCCCCAAAAACTCCTTAGACCCCCTTAGTCACCATTAATGATTGCTTTGTATTTTCTGTAATTGGTGTATACATCACACCGTTTTTATCAATTTTGAATTGATGGATATGTATTTTGTAAATGTATGTAGTGTATTTGTTGTTTAGTGCTTGCTTTGTGTCTTCTGTTTTGGTTTTGTCTACCTGCCCAGGGACAACAGATGCAAATTAGCTGTTAGCTAACTCTGGTGCAAATGTTTAAATTGTGCGCTGTCCCTGTCAAATAAACAGTAAATAAACAAAATGGGCACAAGATGTGTAGTTATCTTATTTGCCAATGACATAATGACAGCGGACAACCATGAGTAATGTATTATAATATATAATACAATAAGTTTCCGAGTTTATTTTCTGTCCTTAGTCTGCATTTTGTTGTGTTTAGGTGTCCTAAAAATTGGTGCTGGAAAAAGTGCTTGAAAGTCCGGAAAGATAGCAGACAAGTCCTCTTTCAGTAAACATTATTTCTGTAGGCTTTGATGCCTTGAGTTTGTTTTTATGTCTGCTGTTTTTGTGCCATTAAACTGTTTTCAACTTGTATTTATTTGTCTGTTTTGCTTTAGACCTGATGCTGCTGAAAGAGGAGAGTCAAGAACCGAATGGAATGGAAGAAAAAGATCAGAATGAGAAACATGATTTCATGACTGGAGAGAAATCCACAAAGATGGAAAAGTCTCGCTCACGAAAAAGAACTCAAAAGACCAAACCTAACAATTATTTCACTTGCCGTCAATGTGGAAAGAAATTCAGTAAAAAACAAAACCTTAAAGTTCACATGAGAGTTCACACTAGAGCGAAGCCTTTCACATGCCAACAATGTGGAAAGAGTTTTACTGTAATGCACGGCCTTAAAGTTCACATGAGAGTTCACACTGGAGAGAGCTGTTTTACCTGCCAACAGTGTGGAAAGAGTTTCACTCAAAAACAAAACCTTAAAGTCCACATGGTAGTTCACACTGGAGAGAAGCCTTTCACATGCCAACAGTGTGGAAAGAGTTTCACTCAAAAACACAACCTTAACGTCCACATGAGAGTTCACACTGGAGAGAGCTGTTTTATTTGCCAACAGTGTGGAAAGAGTTTTACTCATAAACACAGCTTTAACGTCCACATGAGAGTTCACACTGAAGAGAAGCCTTTCACGTGCCAACAATGTGGAAAGAGTTTCACTAAAAAACAACAGCTTAAAGTCCATATGGTAGTTCATACTGGAGTGAAGCCTTTCACATGCCAACAGTGTGGAAAGAGTTTCACTCAAAAACCAAACCTTAAAGTCCACATGAGAGTTCACACTGGAGAGAAGCCTTTCACATGCCAACAGTGTGGAAAAAGTTTTACTCAAAAACACAACCTGGAAATCCACATGAGAATTCACCCTGGAGAGAGTCCTTTCACATGCCAACAGTTTGGAAAGAGTTTCACTCAAAAACCAAACCTTGAAGCCCACATGAGAGTTCACACTGGAGAGAAGCCTTTCACATGCCAACAGTGTGGAAAGAGTTTCACTCAAAAACACAGCCTGGAAATCCACATGAGACTTCACACTGGAGAGAAGCCTTTCACATGCCAACAGTGTGGAAAGAGTTTCACTAAAAAAAACTACCTTAACGTCCACATGAGACTTCACTCTGGAGAGAGTCCTTTCACATGCCAACAGTGTGGAAAGAGTTTTACTGTAATGCAAAGCCTTAAAGTTCACATGAGACTTCACACTGGAGAGAAGCCTTTCAGCTGCCAACAGTGTGGAAAGAGTTTCACTCATAATCACAGCTTTAACGTCCACATGAGAGCTCACACTGGAGAGAAGCCTTTCACATGCCAACAGTGTGGAAAGAGTTTCACTCGAAAGCAGCGCCTTAAAGCCCACATGAGAATTCACACTGGATAAAAGCCTTACAACAGTTATAAATCTTAGAAATCAAATTATCATTCACACTGGAGAGAGTTTATTGGGAGAAAAAAACGTTGTGATCAGTGTGGAAAATTTGCACGTAAAGTAACCTTTAATTGCCACATGAGACTTCACATTGGAGAGAAGCCTTTCATCTGTAAACTGTGTAGCAGTAGTTTTTCACAAGAAGTACTTGCACAGGAGAGAAGCGGTTCATGTTTGAAATTGCTGTGAAATGGCACAACGTAACTGAATGATTTTACATAAAATTACAAAAACTGAATGAAATAAGAACATAAGGTAACACTTAATTTTACGGTGTCTGTGATACAGACTAATTACTTACAGGAGAACTCCGGGCAATTTTTTATTTAAATCTTGATCGTTAGACCTTTGTGAGTACTGACTAGAAAAAAACGAACCAGATTGGTGCTTGCAACATGGAGCTGCGGCCGCGAATGCCCAGAGCTCCCACCCAGATAAACAGCATCTATGGGGGCATGAACATAAACAGCGTTTTTGTGACTCTTAAAGGAAAACTCCGGTGTAAATGAACCTTTTGTCTAATAAAACATCGGTACCTAGTCAATCGTTCTCTGAGATTTGTTTTCATGATAATCGAATGTAAAGAGTTTTATCTCAAAAAACTGTTTAACGTATAATGCTAGTAATGGGGGCATTTACTAAGTAAAAAGAAATCACTAGTTCCCTTTTGTAGTCACTCCGAGTTACGTCGGATGACAGAGAATGGGGGTTTCGCATATAAAGTCAATCCTCTTCAAGTATTAAAAAACGAGCCAATGGCAGGAAAATGCCATGGGTCTGCGGAATTTGCATAGCGTATTTCCACCACCTCGTGAGTATGAAAGGAGGAAGCGGACGCAACCGCAGTATGTTTTCACTTCGGAGCCAAGAGAACTTCTTCACTCCACAAGCCACACAATCTGAGTTAACTACTGTGACTCACCTCTGATGGTCGCAGGGAGGCGTCCCTGCCCATACCAGCCTCGCAGTCCTGCTGCGTCGCTCCCGTTACAGGCAGCTCAGGTATGGCTTTCAGTTCTTCAGGGAGTGGTCGCAGGTCCACTCTTTCTTCCGGCTAGGGGAGAATCTTTTTCTTCAAAGAACTCCATTCTATCTCTGAGCACACAGAGCAAGATGAAAGTGTGCAACGCCCCCGTGCCTTGCCACTCTCATTCTCCTCTGTCTCTGAGGGTGCGGATGGGAGTGTGTCGTTTCTGGACCACGCCACTCCCATCCCCCTCTATCGGGGCCTTCGGGTCAACTGGGAGAAGAGCAAACTTTGCCCCGTGCAGAGGATCTCTTTTCTCGGTATGGAGATAGACTCGGTCTCGATGTCCGAGCAGCTCACAAACGAGCGCGCACACTCACTGCTGACTTGTCTTCAACAGTTCGAGGGCAAGAGTGCGGTCTCACTGAAACTTTTTCAGAGGCTCCTGGGGCATATGGCATCCGCAGCCGCGGCAAAGCCACTCGGATTGCTTCATATGAGACTGCTTCAGCTGTGGCTTCGTGATCGAGTCCCGAGGTGAGCATGGCATCACGGTACGCTCAGAGTTCCAGTAACTCCGACCTGCCGTCAGACTTTCTTCCCGTGGACGAACCTCAGCTTTTTACGGGCCGGTGTCCCTCTGCAGCGAGTTTCCAGGCAGGCATGTTGTTGTCTGTTTTCCAGTCTCTGGCGAATGGCGACTCCATCCCCAGTTGGTCCAGCTGATATGGGACCAGTTCGGGGAGGCACAGATAGATCTGTTCGCTTCCCACGACTCATCCCATTGTGCCCTGGCCTTGGCGCACAGCTTGCCGCAGGGTCTACGCAAGTATGCGTTTTCCCCAGTGAGCCTTCTCGCACGGACTCTGTGCAAGATCAAGGAGGACCAGGAGCAGGTCTTGCTGGTCGCCCCATATTGGCTCACCAAGACCTGGTTCTCCGAACTGATACTCCTCGCGACAGCACCTCCTTGGCCAATTCCTCTGAGGAAGGACCTCCTCTCTCAGAGATGGACACCCTCGTCCCGATCTGTGGAGGCTACATGTGTGGCTCCTGGATGGGACCTGGCTACCATCACTGACTACCATCACACGCCTATGCGTTGAAGTGGAACCTCCTCGTCAACTGTTACTCTTCTTGCCGAGAAGACCCCCGGAGATGCTCGATCAGCGTCGTGATTTCCTTCCTGCAAGAAGGGTTGGAGCGTAGGCTGTCTCCCTCCACCCTGAAAGTGTATGTGGCTGCTATTGCCGCATTTCATGAAGCAGTTGAAGGTAAGTCTTTGAGAAACACCTGATCATCAGGTTCTTGAGGGGAGCGAGGAGGTTGAATCCTCCTCGCCCTCCTCTCGTACCCTCTTGGGACCTCTCAGTGGTTTTAAGTGCCCTGGAGAGGCCTCCCTTCGAGCCTCTGCAATCAGTTGAGATTAAGTTCCTGTCTATGAAGACAGCGCTCCTGGTTGCACTGGCCTCCATCAAGAGGGTAGGGGACCTGCATGCAATAGATTGAGGTTTTTGTTAAAGTTGATGAAAGTATGATGAATTTAAAGGCTTGTACAGATTAATCAAAATGCTTCTTATTGCCTTGTCATGTGTAACTACATATTGCTCGAAATAAATTAATAAAATATAAAATAAATAAAAAATAACAATAAGTGAGTCAAAAAAATCAAAAATCAAAATGGAAATGCAAATTAAGCTGTTTTATGTATTGATTATTGTTATGCTTGCTTTACTCACAGGAACATGGGAGGAGTTGATGTATCCGATGCCCTCATTGGGTATTACACAGTGCTGCGGAAAACTAGAAAGTGGTACCACACTTTGTTCTACCACTTTTTTGACATTGCGTTCATAATCCACCGGTAACTGGCTGCACTAAAAACCAAAGAGGATTGCGAGAAGCTCTAGTTTGTGAGCTTGATGCCTTCTTTAAAACAAGACCAGAATGAGGATTAAATTGAAAAGCGTTCCAGAATTACATTCATTTGAATTTCGACATCAACTTTGCAGGCCTACACTCAAAAATGGGTGTGACAGTTAACAGGTTAAATTATGAATGAGTGAAACGCTTTGCAGAGCGGTCTGAATCCACTCACATTCACTTGGACTGCTCTCTCACTGAATCAGCTGAAACGATTTATCAGTCAGTAAAACAAACTGACGGCATCGCGAGAACAACCAGCGCTGTTTTTCAGTTGTTTTCAGTCACAGATATCAGTCACATTTAGTCTTATTGGAAAAGATTTAGTTGTAGCTGAATATCATGATCAAAAATCAACAGGCTAAAGAACAGGAACGTTTGACTGTGGTTTAAAAAATACCACAGAGAAACAATGAACTTAACTAATACACACTTCAAGCATTATTAAAGACAAGTAAACACTCAGTAATTAAATAAAGGACAAGCAAAAAACAACAAATAGATACAATTGAACAAAGATACGATTGAATTGTGTTTTATGATATTCAGGTACAGAAAGTGTAATCAAATGATTTTTAACGGTTCAATTCTCTCAAGAATGCATTTGATGATCCTCGATATCAAGCCCTTTCATGTGTCCTCTGTATATGTGTTCTGAATATTGACAGTTGATGATGACGTAATAAAAATTAAGCAAAAGAGTATATAGCACAAATAATGTGAGTCTGTGTAGATAAAAGATAAGACAAAGTATAATAAACTTTATCATAAATAAACAAGGCTTATCCATCAAGTTAAATATTTTTTTCCCATAGTATTTACATTTTATTTTTTGCTGACTTTATGAAATTATTGTAAATGCTTAACAGGATGGACATCTGTCACAGACAAAGATAATAATGTTGGTATCAGAAGATGTTTATAATAAAACACCAGAAAAGACTAACACAGGGAACCACAACGACCAGGTGACATGCAGGATAATGATTTTTTTTTTATCTATACTATTTTTTAGCATTAACATTAACCATAACAGATAGAAGATATTGTTATCTTCTCCTTATTCTTGTGGCAGATGTATGCACTTCAATGCTGACACATATGAACTGTGCTTTAAGAACTCATTCAGTCTTTTTAACAATTAGTAATTCTTAATCTTTTTCATCACATAATTGGATAACATCTATTAACATATATATTTCACCATGTATTCCCATGATATCTATTATATATATATATATATATATACATTCTATGGACTATAAACATAGACAGTATGACTATAAATTGGACAGCAGATTGAACAAGACTTTTATTTTGGTCTGGTGAAATGACATCATAAAGCTGCGCCGTGCTCCTGCAGCTGTTGTGATTAGACTGAAGAGAGGTTTGCGGTTTTGCTCATTTAAAGTGTTTAAATCGATACACGTCAATTTGATAGTTTTTACAAGAGGTATATCTCTGTTATATGCTTAATGTAACAATTTTGTGTTTTTTTTTTTGTTGAGTAAAGCGTATTTGAATGTGAGTTACAGAAAAGGTGCGTCTCAATTCGAGCACTGTATCTTGTATCAGTTTTTTCGTAACACGAAGTGGTAATGGAGAAACGGAGCTTTTCTAAACTCAATTGAATCTAATGCTTTGCCAAATGATTCACTGATTCGAAGCGCTTGAATCACCGCGCACTGACGAATCCTGCCGCTCTAAACTGAGTAAAAATACAACGAAAACACAAATATGATGATTAACAATGACAAATTTCATGAACAAGTCTTAAATGTTTTTATGACAACGTAATCTGTTAAATCTACAAATTATTAAATATAAAGTGTCTGTAATTCATTTTATATTGTTGGTCTTGTTTTGAGTGATTTTTGTCTGGTCAGTTGATTTAAGTCCATTATCTCTCTCTCTGACTGACTCCCTCACCAGTGCGCTGAACTACTGAACTAGAGCTGATTGAGACACAGAGATTTACTGTGGATTTATTTCTCTTTCTGTTAATTATTCTCATCTTCAACAATTTTTCAAACACACAGGAAAACTCCTGGATAAACATCTGAGATCCACGTGACACTATTATAAAGATGGCGTTGATTAAACAGGAGAGTGAAGACATAAAGATTGAAGAAGTGTTCAGCCTGAAACAAGAAGATACTGAGGAACAAACAGGTTAGTTTCATTCGGCCCTATTTAAAGGGGCGGTAAAACATGATTTCACCTGCTAACTTTAGCTTGTGTGTAAAGTTGCTGTTTGAGCATTCCCAGCAAACATGCTCCTTTGGGGCCCGAATGGTTTATTCACAGTCATGTAAAAAATATAAACAATACATTACCGTTCAAACATGACATCATGAATTTTGCTTAAACATATATAGCATTTATGAGTCTTCCCCTAAGTGCTATTAATCCCAGTGACGGGTAGCTTTAGGGACGGGGTTGGGGTAATATACAGTAATGAAACGTTAAGTCAACAGCGTTCATAAACACGCTGAAAAGCGATTATGTGTGTTGATAGCACGCCAAAAATGAAAATACGAATTGGCGTGCCATACGCCATTTCATGAGATCAGTCTGACCGTTCAACTTTAGGGTCAGTAAGAGCCCTATTTTTGAACAAAGTAATTCTACAAAGTTATTATTCCTGGGACGTTAAAACTGAATTTTCAATAGCTAGAATCTAGTCGTCAGCATGTAAATCCATGAAAAAAAAAATCAGGAATGTTTGAACAGAACTGTCAAATGAGTAGCATTTATTTGAAAAAGATTTTGAGGAAAAAAAAATAATCATATAAAACCACAACACATTAAGGTAGATTATGACTCCTCTGATAAAATAAATCAATCCCCTCAGATACCGGAGTAACTTGCATTAGGATCAGCATCAACCCCTTTGGATGCTGTGTAAAGTGAGAAAAACAACAACAACAATTGAAATGTTAACATAAAAAAATTATTTTAAAAAACGGGGGTTGTTCCAAGTGTAATTTATACACTTGTGTCTTCCCAAGGGTTAGGCCATTTCCACCTCAGAGAACAGAGAATCTTCTGCCCTTTGACTGGAGGATTATTTGAATTCCGGAAAAATAGTTATTAATATTAAAAACAAATGTAGGTGGTGTTGTTGAGAGAGAAACATACAGAGGTCATGATGAAATGAGAGCATGAGAACGATTTACAAAAATTATCAACACAATATATAATTTTGTCAACTTGTACTCAAACTCATGACCTCCATTATTTCTTCTGTGGAAGATTCTTCTGATATTTTGCAAAATGACTCAATGAAAAGTCAATGCGATTTTCATTGTATGGACAAAACAGATTAAACATTCTTCTTTTACATTCCATAGAAAAAAGTAAATAATACAAAAACATGAAGATCAACCCCTCAATGTCTTTATCAAGAAATCATTGATGGCTTTAACTTGCAGCATGAATATGTCATTTCTATAGAAGAAAATACAGAGAATGTGTCTGACAGTCAAAAATGTACTTGGGTTAGCTGTTTGACACACAACACAATTTTACAACAGTACGTTTTACATACAATAAAAGCAAGGACATTTTTTAAAAAAATGTGTCAATATACTTGCAAATTAGTGATATTTTCACAGTTGTGGTCTTCATAGCTGTCAACATTGAACATTGAAAACAAGTGAGATTTTACAGAATCCATCCCCAAAATGAGAGATTTTTTTTTCTTTTACACGATACATACTTCAAAAATAAAGCCGTAACTATTAAAAGTCTAAAGAGTTTATAACCTACATAGTGTGAGAGAGAAAGAGACACGGTGTCATTTTAAAAAAAAGACCTCATTTCACATTTGACAACGCGCGGCGTCCTGTCCGGGGATGAATGACTTCTAGCCGAATCTGTCCGAGCTTGTACGTCTCACACAGTCAGAGCATAAAAATACGGGATATTTTATGGGAAAATATTAAAATGGGAAGACTGCGGGGAAAGAGCTAAAATACGTGAGAAACCTGGAAAAAGGGAGGGTTTGACAGCTTGTCTGGTCTTGAATAAAAATCCTGAGTCCTCAATGTCCGAGACCGAGACAAGACTGAGAATGAAAACCATCAAAAAGTGGTCTCGAGACAGGAACTACAACACTAGCCTATGGATTATACATTTCTGTGTTATTCTGAAGAAAGGAAATCATATACATTTGAGTGAATAAATGAACAGAGAACATTAGTTTTTGGATGAAGTCATGAACTAGTTTCCACATGAACTAGTTCAGTGTTCAGTTCACAAATTTTAAAATGAACTAATTCAGTTCATAGTTCATACTTTAAAATTGAACTAGTTCATAGTTATTTTTTTTCCAAATGTTGCTGCGAGTTATTATTTTTCAAAATTATTATACCCATGGATGTTCTTCTGAACTTGATATGAATTCCTCGTCTACATGGTTACTCGTCTGTCCGGTTACCCGTCATGGCTTCTCCACGACTTCTGTAAACCTGCTCTAGCGAACAAATTCACAACCAAAATCCTCCTTTCAACTCAACAACTCTGGCTTTGTTTGGGTCCTAAGATTTTTTTTTATAAAAAATTTGATTATACAGAGTTAAGAAATATGAGAAAATAAACTGTTAAATGTCTACTTTTTTATTCATAAAACATAAAACTTTTTTATACACATGAGCGGAAATAAAATATTGTTCTTTTGTAAAATAAAGAAAATAAACAGGGTGTGCGTTCTGCCTCTCCATCTCCGTCAACTTTTTTTCTGGAGCAAGTCTCTAAACTTAAACAAACCTCAGCGAATACTATTCACCCAGCGATGAGCAATATATCTTTAAAATTATTTAAGTTTGTACTTTTAAATGATCTGATTCAAAACTAAAATAAATATTTTCGTTTATGTCATCTATATAAAAAGAGAGAGGTGTCAGCCGTAAAGTAGAGGTACGGCTGAGAGGTAAAAGACAACATTTTGTTGATCTAATTTTGGATGGATTCTAAAGTTTTTACTCTAAAATAGACATCAAATAAGCTGTTGTTAGCAGTTTCTGCTCATATGTTAAATATATAGTATGTTTTGTCAATAAACTAATCAACTAAGATGTCATAATGTTTGTTCCAATGCAAGCTCTATCAAAATAATGAATCCTTAACTTTGAAATATGTATGATCAAATGTATTGGCCTAGTAAGACATTTATGGAAAAGGACAATTTTCTTTTTAAGATGTTTCCAACTCTAACTTTGAACCTACCCATTTAACCTATTTGAACAGGATTTGTTTTCAGGTATGACTAATGAAATGCTCATTACTATGCAGGGTCTTTTGTTTTCTCAGGTGTGAACCAACTAATTATTCACAAGGGGGTTGGGCCGTTGACACCCATTCGCAGATTGCCTTGGCAAAAAAAAAGTTTTCACCATTTAAAAGAATCTATTGTGTTATGAGAATGATTTGGCAGGATTATTTTCAGATCATTTTAAAGCAAAAACTCTAGGCGACAACTTCCATTAGTCAAAAGTCTTGTGGACACACATTTAGTATGTATTTTGTGGCCTTATTTCAGAAACTTTATTTTTTTTTTCAATAACCATGCATAAAACAATATTCTCTCAAAAATACAAACATGTACATGTTGCTCACATATGATGGTAGCCCTGTTTGTGCTATATAGAGTGAATTGGATGGATACAACTGGAGCTGACGAACGCCATTTTTCATAATAGCACAAAGGCAGATGGGAAATAATTAGCATAGCTGATGTTCATAATGATTTCTATTACACGGGATTTCTATTTCACATGTTAAAAACCACAATCTCACAAACTCTCCGCAACCCAACCATACGCGCCAACCCGTTTGAATAAGGCTGTCGAGCCCCACTGTCGCGGAAATGCGTTTCAGTGCCAACGGTTCCGTGTGGCATACCACCTACCGCAAAACACAATATCTGCCCAACCAACCACCCATCATACATACAGGAACGTAATGACTGTAAATATTATGCAACCTATTCAAATAACCTTCAGACCCTTCAAGTTTTATAATATTAAATGCATTCAGTCTGATTGAACAGAGGAATGAAAGGTAAGCATATTATGTAAACTGTGACAGCGAGTCAAAGCCTCAAACCATATCGGGAAGGCTATTCCAGAGTTTTGGAGCCAAATATGAGAACACCTTCCCTCCTTTAGTGGACTTAGCCTCGAATTTAGTGATCTTAAAGAACGTGTTGGATTGTAGGGCGATAGAAGGTCCATTAAATACACAGGAGCTAAACCATTTAGGGCTTTATAGGTCAGTAGTAGTGTCACCAGGTGACAAATTGCAGCAGAATCTGTCGGCATGGCAATGGCGGCTGATGAAGAATCAGCAACAGGTGTGGAGGATTTGCAACTGGAGCACATAAAAGGGAAGTTAAGAGACAGTTGAGTGCGGTGTTCCTCCGGGAGAAGTTGTGGGGCGGCGCTTCCCCCCGGGAGCCGTCGTTTTCTCTGGCAGTAGCATGGAGTCGCGGAGATATCTGTAGAAGCTGTGAGGATGTGACTGGACTAAGGGTACAGCGGTGATCGTGTGAATACAAGCTGGAAACGTGAACTTGAGGGGAAGTGAGTGAATTGTGGAGATCAAGTCAAGACTGGAGAACGCCATCATTCTTGGGAGGAAGATAAGTAGTGAAACACCGGATCTGTGTGAATGCATGTCCTGCACTGAGTTGAATAAGGAAGTGTGAAGTGTATTGATCACGAGTATACCTGTCACTTAAGAGTGTGGACTGAGTCATCATTGAAATCCTGATCTTCTTCTGAGTGTGAGAGAGTTTTGAAGACGCTGTTTTCCGTGCTGTGAGAAGTCATTTGCATCTCTTCATCTTCTGAGTGCTGATTTGACGTAACAGTGGAAGGATTGATCATTGGGTGAGTGCTGGCCTTATTGCACTGAGAGTGGATGTGCAGTGCCCGAATTGAAGTGTCACACAGTAATGGACTTGATATGAAGTGCAGTGTGTGGATGTATATGTATATTTAACTGCCAGTATTCCCCAGTTCATATTCTCGCCCAGTGTTTGCTGAACCCAAAATCTCAGTGTTGAACGTGCATGTTCCACTCCAGCCACAAGACCCTGTTTCGAGACTGAAGAGAAGTGTGCTTGCCCTGTATAACTTGTCTGTCTATTCAAATAGAAGATTCTCCTGCTACTGTCTTCTGGTGTGATGCCCCTCTGAAGGAGGAACACACCCTAGCCTTAGTGTTGCTTGCTTGGAGCAACCCAGTCCAGCCATAAGCCAGATTCTCCATCTCAAAGAGAGTGTGCCTGTACCTGTATAAATTGCTCTGTCTGTTTAAATAGATGGTTCTTCTGCTGCTGCCTTTTTGTGTGCTGCCTGCCTGAAGGAGAGACACATCTAGCCACATCGTTCCATGAACTGAGAGACTATGAGTTGTTGCTGACCCTCTGTTATGCAGAGCATACCGAGCTGGAGAACCCTGGAGCCGGTGAGCGAATGAGAAACTGTGAGCCGATGCTGACCCTCTGTTATGCAGAGCATGGAGGAACTGATGTTCAAAGTCCCGTGATGTCCCGAAGTTTTAAAAAGACCTTTTAAATAACTTTTTATTAATAAAGCCTGTTAACTTTTTAATCCTGTCTGTCCGTCTGGTCTCTGGCACGCTCCTCGGGGTGGTCCTGGGTTTTAGGGGTGGGTGCGGTTTGTCCATGGGCCACCCCGACCTGTGACAGTAGGCCTTTGTAATTGATATGGAACTTAAAAGGTAACCAATGTAGAGAAGATAAAATCGGTGTTATATGATCATATTTTCTTGACCTAGTAAGAACTCTGACAGCTGCATTTTGCACTAACTGTAGCTTGTTTATTGAGAATGCAGGACAACCGGCTAATAAAGCATTACAGTAATCTAGTCTCGAGGTCATAAATCCATTAACTAACTTTTCTGCATCAGAAACAGATTGCACATTACATAGCTTAGCAATGTTTCTAAGGTGGGAAAAGGCTGTTCTTGTAACATATGAAATATGATTTTTGAAAGACAAGTTGCGGTCTAGTATAACACCCAGGTCTTTTACTGTAGTGGATAAAGTAACAATAAGTAATACCTCGGATTTATCTGAATTTTTATAGCAGGAAATTAAGCGTCATCCAGAATTTCTTTAATATCTTTGAGACACTGTCAATTTGGATGAGTTAGTGTTTTCATCTGGTCGTGATGAAATGTATAATTGAGTAATTGAGTGTCGTCAGCATAACAGTGGAAATTAATTCAATGTTTTCTTATAATATTACCAATTGGCAGCATATACATTATATTGATAATAGCAGAGGGCCTAACACCGATCTTTGTGGTACTCCATAGTCTACTGACCTTATCTTTGATCCCCCCCCCCCGCCCCCCATTTAAACAGACAAAATTATAACGGTCCTATAAGTACGATCTAAACCAGCTTAATGCCTGTCCCTGAAAACCAGTGTAGTTTTGTAGTCGATCCAAGATTATTTTATGATCTATAGTGGCAAATGCAGCGCTAAGATCAAGTAGAACTAGTATTGAAATACAGCCTTGGTCAGAAGCTAAAAGTAAATCATTTGTAATTTTAAATAGCGCAGTTTCTGTACTATGATGCGGTCTGAATCCTGACTGGCATTTTTCATAGATATAATTTTCTTGCAAAAAAGAGCACAATTGAGCGGACACAACTTTTTCTAGTATTTTAGACATAAATGGAAGATTTGAAATGGGTCTGTTATTTATGCTAAGTTATTTGGATCTAATTGCGGTTTCTTAATGAGAGGTTTTATTACTGCCAGCTTGAATATTTTTGGAACATGACCTAAAAAGAGATGATCGCGTCCTCCTGGGCAGAGAAACGCACGGAGTAGACGAAGTCAGAGTCAAAGAATTACTAATCACTGACTTGTGAGCATCGGCGCGTGATGCTTCAAGCACTGATCGCCGATCCAGCAGATCGGCTTGCTTCTCCAGCAGACCACGGATCTGTTTTTCCACTGATTCCAGCTCCAACTTGACCGAGAACAGCTCGAATGTGTCCTCACCCGCACTCAGAGGTAACGTTAGACACGCATCTAATGTGTTCGCCATTATAACAGAAGAACAGTAAATTAGTAGTGATACTACATCTATCACTACTAATTTAGGACTGAAATGCCGGATATAATCCGTATCCTTTTAGTGAAACGGGTGTAAAATGAGACGGCCAATAGGCAAGAGGCCACGCGTGAAATGCTAGCGGGCTAAAGGCTAGTAGTCGAGATTCGGAAAAGTAAGTAGATAGTAGCGATATCAAGTTCTAAGTAGCGATATCAAAGCAATCCAATTGTTTTTTTATAAGGAATAGTATCGAGGATAAGTTCACATGATATAAAAATAGAAAGTGCTTGTTTATAAATGAGTGGTAAAGAAGAAAATCAAGGATTAATGAATCACTTTGATGGAGCTACAAACACAGACCCGCACGCGCATGCGCTCTGAATACTTCTGAAAGTCCTGAAAGATTGCAGACAAGTGCTCTTTCAGTAGACTTATTTCTGTAGGGTTTGATGCCTTTAGTTGTTTTTTTTTATGTCTGCTGTTTTCTTTTGTGCCATTAAACTGGTTTCAACTTGTATTTGTCTGTTTTTGCTTTAGACCTGATGCTGCTGAAAGAGGAGAGTCAAGAACCGAATGGAATGGAAGAGAAAGATCAGAATGAGAAACATGATTTCATGACTGGAGAGAAATCCACAAAGATGGAAAAGACTCGCTCACGAAAAAGAACTCAAAAGACCAAACCTTGCCGTCAATGTGGAAAGAAATTCAGTAAAAAACGAAACCTGGAAATCCACATGAGACTTCACACTGGAGAGAAGCCTTTCAGCTGCCAAAAGTGTAGAAAGAGTTTCACTCAAAAACACAACCTGGAAACCCACATGAGACTTCACACTGGAGAGAAGCCTTTCACATGCCAACAGTGTGGAAAGAGTTTCACTAAAAAAAACTACTTTAACGTCCACATGAGACTTCACTCTGGAGAGAGTCCTTTCACATGCCAACAGTGTGGAAAGAGTTTTGCTGTAATGCAAAGCCTTAAAGTTCACATGGTAGTTCACACTGGAGAGAAGCCTTTCACATGCCAACAGTGTGGAAAGAGTTTTACTCAAAAACACAACCTGGGAATCCACATGAGAGCTCACACTGGAGAGAAGCCTTTCACATGCCAACAGTGTGGAAAGAGTTTCACTCAAAAACACAGCCTGGAAATCCACATGAGAGCTCACACTGGAGAGAAGCCTTTCACATGCCAACAGTGTGGAAAGAGTTTCACTCAAAAACATAACCTGGAAATCCACATGAGAGTTCACACTGGAGAGAAGCCTTTTAGCTGCCAAAAGTGTGGAAAGAGTTTCCCTAGAAAACAAAACCTTAAAGTCCACATGAGAGTTCACACTGGAGAAAAGCCTTACAACAATTGTAAATCTTAGAAATCACATTCTCATTCACACTGGAGTTTATTGGGAGAAAAATTATGTGATAAGTGTGGAAAGTTCACACGTAAAGTAACCTTTAATTGCCACATGAGACTTCATGTTGGAGAGAAGCCTTTCATCTGTAAACTGTGTGGCAACATTTTTTTACAAGAAGTAGTTGCACAGGAGAGAAGCGGTTCATGTTTGAAATTGCTGTGAAATGGCAGAATGTAACTGAATGATTTTACATAAAATTACAAAAACTGAATGAAATAAGAACATTAGGTAACACTTTATTTTACGGTGTCCGTGATACAGAGTAATAAATTATTTACTTAGTAGTAGACATTGTAATAACATGCAACAAAATGTAACTAAGTTATGGAACAGCCTGTACTTACAGATTGTAATTACACACATGTAATAGGTAGCTACTGTTACACATATGTAACAGGCAAAGTCGGTTACATACGTCTTGCATGATCTCTCTTACCTCAGGATTGAAATCCACAGAGAAACTCACAGAAATACTTTTATATGATCAGAATGCACCATATGAGTGTATATATAGGAGTAATATATCCTATACACTCACCTAAAGGATTATTAGAGGAGTAATACATCCTATATATACACTCACCTAAAGGATTATTAGGAACACCATACTAATACTTTGTTTGACCCCCTTTCGCCTTCAGAACTGCCTTAATTCTACGTGGCATTGATTCAACAAGGTGCTGAAAGCATTCTTTAGAAATGTTGGCCCATATTGATAGGATAGCATCTTGCAGTTGATGGAGATTTGTGGAATGCACATCCAGGGTACGAAACTCCCGTTCCACCACATCCCAATGATGCTCTATTGGGTTGAAATCTGATGACTGTGGGGGCCATTTTAGTACAGTGAACTCATTGTCATGTTCAAGAAACCAATTTGAAATGATTGGAGCTTTGTGACATGGTGCATTATCCTGCAGCACGTAACCATCAGAGAATGGGTACATGGTGGCCATAAAGGGATGGACATGGTCAGAAACAATGCTCAGGTAGGCCGTGGCATTTAAAGGATGCCCAATTGGCACTAAGGGGCCTAAAGTCAGCCAAGAAAACATCCCCCACACCATTACACCATCACTACCAGCCTGCACAGTGGTAACAAGGCATGATGGATCCATGTTCTCATTCTGTTTACACCAAATTCTGACTCTACCATCTGAATGTCTCAACAGAAATCCAGACTCATCAGACCAGGCAACATTTTTTCAGTCTTCAATTTTGGTGAGCTCTTGCGAATTTTAGCCTCTTTGTCCTATTTGTAGTGGAGATGAGTGGTGCCCGGTGGGGTCTTCTGCTGTTGTAGCCTATCCGCCTCAAGGTTGTGTGTGTTGTGGCTTCACAAATCCTTTGCTGCATACCTTGGTTGTAACGAGTGGTTATTTCAGTCAAAGTTGCTCTTCTATCAGCTTGAATCAGTCGGCCCATTCTCCTCTGACCTCTAGCATCAACAAGGCATTTTTTGCCCACAGGACAGCCACATACTGGATGTTTTTCCCTTTTCACACCATTCTTTGCAAATCCTAGAAATGGTTGTGCGTTAAAATCCCAGTAACTGAGCAGATTGTGAAATACTCAGACCGGCCCGTCTGGCACTAACAACCATGCCACGGTCAAAATTGCTTAAATCACCTTTCTTTCCCATTCTGAAATTCAGTTTGGAGTTCAGGAGATTGTCTTGACCAGGACCACACCCCTAAATGCATTGAAGCAAATGCCATGTGATTGGTTGATTAGATAACTGCATTAATGAGAAATTGAACAGGTGTTCCTAATAATCATTTAGGTGAGTGTGTTTACTGTATATATGTGACTATTATGCTTAGATCACATGAACAAGTCATGCATTTGTTATAACTATTAGATGGTTGACTGATAGTCTTTCTTTTTCCCTATCACTATGATCGTATGTTCATAATTCTGAAGATGGCTTGATTGAAATCTGTGTAAAATATATCGTATCCTTTTATAAGAAATCATGACTAAACTGTACTCTCTGTACTCTGCTCAGAGCGGGAAGGTAAGAGACCACAGATAAAGCATGTTTACGATGAGAGGGGAAGAAACAGCAATCTCTCAACTAAAGACCGTGTCTAATTGGTCCGAACTCATCCAGGAGGCTTGACAAACATTTGACTTAAAAATCTTAGGACACGAAAAAAGCATTAGATGATGATTAGAAGATGATTGAGTTACCATGTAGACGAGCAGACAAAAGACTGCAGATAAAGATCAGAAGAACGTGGGTTAAACAGCCTCTTTCAAGCCATCTTACTACTCTTGACTCACTTTTCTTTCTCTTTGTTTCTTTTCTTTTCCGTTGAGAGTCTCAGTTCTAAGTTATGTTTTGCTGTAAAGTTTTGGTCAAAGATTTGACTGCAAAACTTAAAAGAATTTCCATCCATCCGCCAACACACCACGTGATTGGCCGCCCAAAAAAACATCTATCCAGACACGATGCCGCCAACCAATCAACGAACCCAGGAAACCCCCTTTTTACAAACAGAATCCTCAAAGGAATGCAAAGACAACCACAAGAAGCCTCCAGACTCTTAACTGAACGGGTGCTTTGATATATAAAATTGAATAACCTGCATAAGAAACAATAGAAGGTTTAAATTAATGATTGATGGTTTGTTCAGGTCATGTCTTATAAGTGCATATATTGTTAGAAACTTTAGGATTTCATAATCTCACTCTTAAAACTCATTTTTTTTCTCACTTCCTTTCTTTCTGCAACTCATTTGAATATGTGTGTGTGTTTGAGTTAGGTATATGTGTTCTCAAACTTTTTACTCCAAGTACCACCTCAGAAATGATCTGGCTCTGCAAGTACCCCCGTAATGACAAATATTAAAATACAGTAGTAGTAGGCAGGGGTGTCGGACTGGGGGGGGTAAAGGGTACTGAGTTCCCAGGGCCTGAGGCAGGGGGGTGGGGCCCTTAGAAGTTAGTTTTCTTTACATACATCAGTGTATATTTTTCAAACTCTAAATGTATTGGGTTTTTTTAGTACTAATGTGAATTTAAATGTCTGATACCTAAAATAAACTTGTGGTTGAAAACCCTGAATAGTTGTGAATGATACATTATGACAAGCCAGGTGCTGAGTGCGTCTGTCTCTGGCTCAGCACCAGCCAACGCGCAAAAGCACAGTTTGGATTTAGCAGTTGATCACGTGATGCACTGACTGTTCTACTCACACCGGTGAGATCGAAGTTCATTAATTCCTCTGCGTACCACACTTTGAGAATCAATGTGTTAGAGTAACCAATAAAGTCTTGTTTGTATTTTAAAGAGAAGTGTTCTTGTGTTATGTGCTTACGAATATAACATCTTAACCAGTTAACCTTCAGACGTGCGCCGGCGGGACCCACATGTCCCAAAAGCACGCAACCTACAAATGTAAGCACTCAAAAAAGGTCATGGTACATTGATTAAATATATATCGCTGAACTTACACTTCATGACTGACACCATTAAAATCCAATTGTACTGACTTACAATCGGCAATTTGTTTTTTGCCGAATTCAATGACGGAAAGACGCTTAGTTCAGATGTCTAAACGCGAGCGTTCCATCAACCTACTCCAATAATAGACGCCATTTGAAGCGTAGGTCAATAAGATCCCGGACGAGCCCCCACTTTGTTACTATCTCTCAAATAGTAACAAAAGAGCAGGAGAGAGTTCGGCAAACAAATGTATAAAGGTTTATTATGTGACAGAAGAATTTACATAACCGAGATCCAGCTTAAGACAATAATTCAAGCACAAAACAATGCCTTTTGCATGCCTCTCTCTCCCCCTTCTCTCTAGCACCTCTCTCTCCCCCTTCTCTCAAAGACGCTTTCTTTATGCCGTCAGGTTGGGACATGCCTCACGTGCTGGCATATCCCATCAATTAGACACAGATGGTAACCTAGAATAGCAACAAGACACAGAAATACAGAACAGGAGAAAAAACTCTAGGCGACAAAAACTCAAAAACTCTAGGCAACAACTTCGATTAGTCAAAAGTCTTGTGGACGCATTTTAGTATGTGTTTTGTGTAGGGCTGTGCAAAAGTTAATTGCGATTAATCGCATCCAAAATAAAAGTCTGTGTTTACATAGTATATTTGTGTGTGCTGTATATCATTATTTTGTATATATAAATACACACACATGCATGTATATGTTTAAGAAAATGTGTTATTCCTATATAAAATATTTATATTTATATAATACAGATTATGTATTTATATATATATATATATACAGAATTTAAGCGCAAATAATTCTTAAATATATAACTGCATGCATAGGTATTTATATATACAAAATAATTATATACAGCACACTAAAATATATTATGTAAAACAGACTTTTATTTTGGATGCGATTAATCGCAATTAACTTTTGCACAGCCCTAGTTTTGTGGCCTTATTTTAGAAACTTTAATTTTTCGTTTTTTCAATAACCATGCGTAAACAATATTCTCTCAAAAATACAAACATGTACATACATGTTGCTCACACATTATGGTAGCTGTGCTATATAGAGTGAATTTACACCTTTGCCATTAACATATTTAGAAATAACTGAAAAAAGCACAAATGTCAGTGCATGTCAAAACATCCCAAGGGCCCCAAAAACCCCTTAGACCCCAGAGGGTTATAGCCAGCCTCAAAATTTGGCTAAGTGTCACCATTAATGATTGCATTGTATTTTCTTTATTTGGTGTATACATCAAACCGTTTTTTATCAATTTTGAATTGATGGAGAATATGTATTTTGTAAATGTATGTAGTGTATTTTTGTTTAGTGCTTGCTTTGTGTCTTCTGTTTTGGTTTTGTCTACCTGCCCAGGGACAACAGATGCAAATTAGCTGTTAGCTAACTCTGGTACAATTGTTTAAATTGTGTGCTGTCCCTGTCAAATAAACAGTAAATTAAATTAAAGAAATAAAAATTTGGCATTTATCGTGATATTATCGATATTGACTGATATAGAACAATTATTGATAATTTCTTTTGGCCATATAGCCCAGCCCAATCGTAAACACGTTTGCCTGTCCAGTCCTCATCGATATAGTACACCCACTTCAGAAGACTCTGAGTTGAATCCGGAGTGTTTGATTAGAGAGGCAAACAAAATGTGCACTAGATGTGTAGTTATCTTATTTGCCAACGACATGATAATGACAGCGGACAACAATGCAGCCCTCATGTCACAATATAGTGACATGAGGGTATGAGTAATATATTATAATATATAATACAATGAGTTTCTGAGTTTATTTTCTGTCCTTAGTCTGCATTTTTTTTTGTTTAGGTGTCCTTATACTAAAAATTGGTGCTGGAAAAAGTCCTTGAAAGTCTTATTTCTGTTGGCTTTGATGCCTTGAATTGTTTTTTATGTCTGCTGTTTTGTGCCATTAAACTGGTTTCAACTTGTATTGTTTGTTTTTGCTTTAGACCTGATGCTGCTGAAAGAGGAGAGTCAAGAACCGAATGGAATGGAAGAGAAAGATCAGAATGAGAAACATGATTTCGTGACTGGAGAGAAATCCACAAAGATGGAAAAGACTCGCTCACAAAAAAGAGCTCAAAAGACCAAACCTAACAGTAATTTCACTTGCCGTCAATGTGGAAAGAAATTCAGTAAAAAACGAAACCTGGAAATCCACATGAGAGTTCACACTGGAGAGAAGCCTTTCACATGCCAACAGTGTGGAAAGAGTTTTACTCAAAAACACAACCTGGAAATCCACATGAGAGTTCACACTGGAGAGAGTCCTTTCACATGCCAACAGTGTGGAAAGAGTTTCACTAAAAAACACAACCTTAACGTCCACATGAGAGTTCACACTGGAGAGAGTCCTTTCACATGCCAACAATGTGGAAAGAGTTTTACTCTAATGCAAAGCCTTAAAGTTCACATGAGAGTTCACACTGGAGAGAGCTGTTTTACCTGCCAACAGTGTGGAAAGTGTTTCACTCAAAATCACAACTTTAATGTCCACATGAGAGTTCACACTGGAGAGAAGCCTTTCACATGCCAACAGTGTGGAAAGAGTTTCACTAAAAAACAAAACCTTAAAGTCCACATGGTAGTTCACACTGGAGAGAAGCCTTTTACATGCCAACAGTGTGGAAAGAGTTTTACTCAAATACAAAGCCTTAATGTTCACATGAGAGTTCACACTGGAGAGAAGCCTTTCACATGCCAACAGTGTGGAAAGAGTTTCACTCGAATACGAAACCTTGAAGTCCACATGAGAGTTCACACTGGAGAGAAGCCTTTCACATGCCAACAGTGTGGAAAGAGTTTTACTCAAATACAAAACCTTAATGTCCACATGGTAGTTCATGCTGTAGAGAAGCCTTTCAGACGTTTTACCTGCCAACAGTGTGGAAAGAGTTTCACTCGAAAGCAACGCCTTAAAGCCCACATGAGAATTCACACTGGATAAAAGCCTTTCAACAGTTGTAAATATTGGACATCACATTATCATATAGAGTAGCTATAGTTTAATTGTATTAATAAATGACAATTTTGCACTTATTTTATCTGTTTGCTCTCATTTGTTCCTACTCACTTATTACACGGCACACTTACTTAACCCAAAAATTGTTGCTGCATACCCCTCTGATACTGGGTAGTTGCACCCCTGGTGGTGCCCAGTGCGTCTTCTGCTTTTGTAACCCATCCGCCTCAAGGTTGTGTGTGTTGTGTCTTCTTCACAAATGCTTTGCTGCATACCTCGGTTGTAACGAGTGGTTATTTCAGTCAAAGTTGCTCTTCTATCAGCTTGAATCAGTCGGCCCATTCTCCTCTGACCTCTAGCATCAACAAGGCATTTTCGCCCACAGGACTGCCACATACTGGATGTTTTTCCCTTTTCACACCATTCTTTGTAAACCCTAGAAATGGTTGTGTGTGAAAATCCCAGTAACTGAGCAGACTGTGAAATACTCAGACCGGCCCGTCTGGCACCAACAACCATGCCACACTCAAAATTGCTTTAATCACCTTTCTTTCCCATTCTGACATTCAGTTTGGAGTTCAGGAGATTGTCTTGACCAGAATCACACCCATAAATGCATTAAAGCAAATGCCATGTGATTGGTTGATTAGATAATTGCATTAATGAGAAATTGAACAGGTGTTCCTAATAATCCTTTAAGTGAGTGTATATAGTGGTTTATATAGACACTATAAATGCATTTGAAAATGATTAATTTTCCGGTTAAAAAAAATGGTTCTGTGCATAGCCTAGATCTACACGCCCCCTGAACCCTCATAATAAAGATGGCTCTGCGGAGGTGGATGACTTCTCATTTTAGACACACACACCTCTGAAGGGATAGTCCTTGGGATACCACAAAAAGTCACAAGACGCAACTTGGATTAGTTGTCAACAAGGCGAAGTCCACCATTCTCCAGTTCTCTGAGCTCTCTCGAGAAAATGTTTGCGGCACACACTATAGTTTAGATCATAGACTGTTTAGATGTGTCCATGGTTGATGGCAAACCAACCGTCCAGAGCCGGAGTCTAGCCCTAGCAGCATCGTGGGGAAACATATTCAACGCACTTGGACTTTGCACCATGAAAACAAACACTTGAATCCCATGATTGCCTCTCTCATCTACTATGCGATCTCACAGTTTGACATGTCTGTCGTTGGAAAGATCCACGTGGTGTCATGAATAATTAAGAGGCCGTGGTGTTCAACACACATACCTCTGTTAAAATCTCAGAAAATTTGGTTTGGGGTTTCATGACCCTTTAAACTTTAAGTTACCTTGCTATTAAAAACTCTTTTCACTGTAGTTTGGATATTTATATTTCTACAGAGCTGATAGTTGTGCCCTGCTCAAATGAATGCTGGACAAGTCATTTACCCGGCCGTAAATAAGTGATTCTTTCAAAATTCCTTTTAAATTAATTAATATTGCAACCAATATTGCAAATTCACTTTGAGCTAAATTGACCTGTTTCTCTTACACTCTTGTATTGTATTACCCTGTAAAACTGTATGAGTAAGACAAAAGAAAGCAATTTTAGACTTCCAGTGTATTGTTTCTGGATGTTCATGTCTTTCTTGTTGCCTTGTCTTTGCCTTTACTCTGCAGGATCACAACTGCATTTCTCCCATTTAAATATCCTCTTCAGTTTCTGTTGTATTCCACTAGTACCTGACGAGTTGTGTACACTACAGCTTAATATTTTGTAAATTTCATTTTTACATGTTTCTATGGTATATTGGAAAACAATGGTGAGCATTGCATAAGCCTTTTACTGGCAAAAACATTCAAAATATGAAAAATGTCAATATTTACAGTGTTGACCCTTCTTCATTACCTCTGCAATTCTGTCTGGCATACTGGATATCCGCTTCTGGGCCAAATCCTGAATAATGGCGCACCATTCTTGCCTTATTAGCCCTCGGAGTAGATCACAATTTGTGGGCTTCTGCTTGTCCACTTGCCTTTTGAGGATTTACCTGAAGTTCTCTATGGGATTAATATCCAGGGAGTTGCCTGGCCACGAATCCAAAATGTAAATGTAATGAATGCCGAGCCACTTCATGATGTGATGTGACTTGACATGAAGGCCAATTATGGTAGCCCATACTTGGAATTTGTTCTCTGCCTCTAAACCATGCAAGTTAGGCTATGTTTGCATGGAAACAATTTTGAAGAGAAAACGCAAAAGTGGCGTTGCGTCATCACCTTTTATTCTGCGTTTAGACGAGCGTTTTGTGTGGGAAATCCGCGTGCAAATGGTGACGCAAAAGTGTATGAAATTCAATTTAGTATGCACTTCATTCGGCTGTGAGTGCGTACTACAACAACACCAAGTCCACGCGCCTGCATACAACCTTCACTGTCAAGCAGACTTTTGCGTTTTTACCATTTACATGGGAACGCGGCGGTGGAGCGTTTTTAAGTTTTCCACTCTGGAGGGTGGTTTCACTTTTTTGCATTTTTAAGCCTCAAAAACGCCGTCGCCGTGAAAACGAAAGATAAGTGCCTGGTCTATTTTGATGATAAATCCTCTAAATCCTCCTCACAGGCACTGTATGTGAAATATAGATAGAAGATAATTTATGAATTTATTTTAAACGACTAAATCACTGCTACAAATCTTTTATCCTTGTTGATAAATGAACTCTTAAGTGTATTAACTTTGTCTGTAGGCTACATCACAACAAAGTAGGATATAGAAATGCACACAACAATAAACATAATTTAGACATAACCACTTAGCCAACCATAGTAGAACCCCCAAAATCAAGAAAAAACAACGTCCAGTTGCTTCGCTTCTGAAATGTTCCTGGTGCGAGTTGGCACAGTGTGGAGGATTTTCGCATTTCAAGTTTGCACCTCACACCCCACCTGCAACGGCACTGGTCCTCTATATGCGTTCTTGAATATTGGAATTGAACTTTGACAGTTGATGATGATGACGTAATAAAAAAAAAAGCAAAAGAGTATGGCGCAACTAATATGTGAGACTCTCATATATTAGTTGTGCCATTTGCTTTTTTTTTTAGAAACCCTGGTCTAGATAAAAGACGTAGTATAATACGACAAAACGTAGTATAATAAGCTTTATCATAAATAAACAAGGCTTATCCATCACAAAGATAATAATGTTGTTATCAGAACATGTTTATTATAAAACACCAGAAAAGACGAACACATGGAACCACAACGACCAGGTGACATGCAGGATAATGCATTTTGTTCTCTTCTACTTATTTTTGTGGCAGATGTTCGGTATGCACTTCGGTGCTGACACATGAACTGTGCTTTAAGAACTCATTCAGTCTTTTTAACAATTAGTAATTCTTAATCTTTTATGTCAAAGAATTGGACAACATGTATTAATATATTTTACCATGAATTCCCCATGACATCTATTATATATTTTTTCTATGGACTAAATATTGGACAGCAGATTGAACAGGACTTTTATTTTGGTCTGGTGAAATGACATCATAAAGCTGCGCCGTGCTCCTGCAGCTGTTAGACTGAAGAAAGGTTTGTGGTTTTGCGCATTTAAAGAGTTTAAATCGATAAACGTCAATTTGATAGTTTTTACAAGGGTTGTATGAACATGTATTATTGAACATATCTTTGTTATATGCTTAATGTAACAATTTTGCGTTTTTTGTGTGTAAAGCGCTTTCGAATGTGAGTTACAGAAAAGATGCGTCTCAATTCGCGCACTATATCTTGTATCAGTTTCTCGTAAACACAAAGTGGTGATGGAGAAACGGAGCTTTTCGAAACTCAATTGAATCTAATGTTTTGCCAAATGACTCACTGATTCAACCCTGCCGCTCAAAACAGAGTAAAAAACAAGGAAAACACAAATATGATGATTAACAATGACAAATTTCATGAACAAGTCTTAAATGTTTTTATGACAACGTAATCTGTTAAATTTACAAATTATTAAATATGAAGTGTCTGTAATTTATTTTATATTGTGGTGCTTGTTTTCAGTGATTTGTCTAATCAGTTGATTTAATTCTATAAAAGGGATAGTTCACCCCAAAAATGAAAATTCTGTCAGTATTTACTCACCCTCATGTTGTTCCAACCTCGTAAGACCTTTTGTTCATCTTCGGAACATGAATTAAGATATTTTTTATTAAATTTGAGAGCTGGATCACTATAGGCTTCTTTAGGGATAGAAACTTGACAGCCTCGAAAAGTTATTAAATAAATAATAATCTTTATCCCTTTAACTCTCACTCTGACTGACTCCCTCACCAGTGCGATGAACTACTGAACTACAGCTGATTGAGACACACTCAGAAGAGATTTACTGTGGATTTATTTTTCTTTCTGTTAATTATTCTCATTTTCAACAATTTGTCCAAACACACAGGAAAACTCCTGGAGAAATATCTGAGATCCTTGTCACACTATTATAAAGATGGCGTTTATTAAAGAGGAGAGTGAAGACTTAAAGATTGAAGAAGTGTTCAGCATGAAACATGAAGAGACTGAGGAACAAACAGGTTAGTTTCATTCAGCCCTATTTAAATGATCTACAGAAATAACATTTCTTAAGAATGTCATATGAGTGTACGAATTAAAGCGGTTTTATTTTACATGGAGCAGCGGGTCTTCTGATGTGGACAGACATGTTTGTTGAGATCACATGACCAGACAAATGGAGATAAAGTGTTTCCGCATGAAGTTTAGAGGATCTGTACACTTGCATTAGCCTATGTGAATTATATGGATTATAAATTTCTGTGTTATTCTGAAAATAGGAAATCATATACATCTGGCATGGTATGAGTGAATACATGATGAGTCAACCTTAGTTTCTGGATGAAGTGTCCCTTTAATTACAGCCAGTTCACTTTCTATATGAACTAGTTCAAAGTTCAGTTCACCAATTTTAAAATGAACTAGTTTAGTTCATAGGTCATACTTTACAGTTTTGATCTAGTTTATAGTTCTTTTTTTCCATATGTTGCTCCAAGCTGTTATTTTTCAAAATTATTGCCACAGCTAAATTATTTTATCAGCAGGCAAAGTGTGTACAAAAATGTAAGATTTTTCCCATCCTCACCAACCT